CGCAGCTTTGCAGCCATTCGGTAAAGGGCGACACGGAAGTTTAACAACTCGGCGGTATGAGCCTTGCATCTCCGATCACCGGCTGGATTATAGAAGCACTGGTGAGCTTCAGTCGTACATTTCGTGCACGGGGTGGTACCAGAGCACTACACTAGGTTAGGTCCATCCTCGAATGGAGGAACGATCTTTCTAACCTTGGACTTTCTTTTCTGGCACTCGGTACAGGCCAGAGAAACTCGCCGGTGTTTTGTCGACGAGTCTGTTTCAAGACACCGTATTCTCGATCCCTTTTCCCTAGGCAAGAGCTCGGGCAGAATATTATTCTTCGGCATTACGGGATTAGATGAGTGGCAGGCGCTCTCAGGATAGAGGTTTAGATTTAAGAGAAGGCTCCGGAAATAGGAGGGAAGTCAATGAGGTCCAGGGATTCAGGGGAACTACTCAGGTCTTATTTGTTCTATCAGATCCTTGCTCGCAGTTCTCTTTGTTTGCTAGAGATAAAATTATCCCTAGCAAACAAAGAACCCAGCCAGGAGACCCACCTCCCGGGACACTCCGCAATCCGATTGGCAGTTCACCCCATCAGACGGAAACATCGCCTGTCATTTACTATATTATGATAAGAACCCATACTGAAGCGTTCGCTTAAGCCGTTGGAAAAGAGTCGTTTTTTTTTCATAGTGTTTGGAATTATTGCAATAGATCACCGAAGATGATAGACTCTTGGGGAAAGAATCTTGAGGTGTTTTGATAAGCGAGCAAAACAAACTACATTAGCTTCAAATGAATATATATAGCCCTATAGAAGCAGGCAGGAGAAAATGAACTGGTGGTGATAACATAAAATATTCGATTCTCCTAGATTCCATTGATTGAAAGTGGTCTGGATTAAAATAGCTGATAAGTGCTCCGCGTGTCAAACTGCATTGAAGCCGCTAATCTCAATTCCGTAGGAGTTGAGATTCTTGGCATAGATTCAATCCAGTCTTTGCCGAGACCATCGCCGCATAGAGTATTACAATCTAAATTTAAAAAAATATATCTTTTTTTTTATTAGTGAAATTGTGTAAATAGCAGGCCCAGTCATTTGGTTACTGAAACAGTGATAAATCGGCAACCCCAGTAATAACCGAAATTATCTCCGTTGGGCCATAGATAATTTTGATGTTCAAATTTTATTTAATCTTGTCATTTCTATTTTTATACCGGTCCGTGAAGCACTGTCAGCTTTACGCCTTCTAGGAAGTTCTATGTCTAAAGAACCAGAGGAGGTCTATACAAATAAGCTTCGGCGTGTTACAACACCGTACTTCCGAATGTGCCCGGAATACCGTACAAATACTAGGGGGAATTGGGTGAACGATGAATAAGCCTGTCCCAAAGGGTCCTAATGGTATTTGACCACTCCCTCAGTTCGTCAGATTCCAATATATCTGATTTTGTCCATACGTTGTCATACAGCCAGATTTCTGTCATCAGAGCCTGACATAGCGCCAAGAATTCCGGGGGGCAGTCAGATCCCTCCTGAATCAAACATAACGTCAACAGGCTGTTTCTCGTAGCAGCAGCATTTCTCTAACTGATACTAGAGTCTGTGTTTTATTGATGTCCTATGAGGTTGTAACACGTCGTCCGCAGCTAACAAGAGCCTCATAGGAGACTGTAGCATTAACGTACCATGAAGGACACACGGCCACCTACAAATGACTATAAGATCCTGTCATGCGCAAGAGCTATAGCTGTCTACTTTACGAAGGGCAAGCAGCAGAAGTGCCGTGAGGTTCTTCTCAGGTTCAAACCGCTTTATAGAACACACTCTTATGCGAACCTTAATTCCACTCTCCTTGATATTTTTCAACAAAATAAGATTGGAAAGCGTCTTTATTATTATGACTGACAATGCACCAAATAACCGAACATTAGCTGATATATTATAGCAAGCAACGCCAGAACATGCCACTCTTATTAAGGTCCCAAGTCTTCCATATGCGCTTCAGCTAAGCTTTAACAAGCTTCTTAGGAATACTTCCCACGGAATGAATCAACAAAGACATGATGGCCAGCGCAGAGACCCAGCAGCGCTTGTATATGTAACAAAGCATGACATTGCTAATACGTTGAAGGTATATACTTCTTCAATCATCGATTGTAATACAATAATTACATATCAGCCTCTAAATTCGTAGTCTTGCTATGTATGAGAATACATTCTACAATCTACAATGTGAACCAACGAAGCTTATGCCTCTTCGAATCGTCAAGATGCGCTGAAATTTTACCTTCATAATGCTGCGGCATTCAAAACGCCCTCGATCGTTCTTCCGGCCATTCTGTGAGGAGTATGAGCGGAGTGATATAGGATCTGGTGGATGAAGACGGGGAATGGAGCCGGGTTGGCTATCTCGGCAAACCTCCAGCGCAAGACCTCTTTCTTTTCACTTCCGTTTCAAGGATTCGGGTATATCGAACTCAAAAATGCCCACTATTAGTGGAGATATCATATCAGCTTTTGCGACTCGACACAGAGACGCTGGTGGAGAGATCACCTGTTCTTATACCACAGATTTCGAAGGCACAACTAGATATGAGCGTCTCGAAGCTTTGAGCTTAGCGTGCAACTACACGGCCTGCCTCTCGGGCACTCCTTTCCAATGACTCAGCGGCATGCAATGACAATTGATTCAAGGGGTGCAATATCTTACCTGTGGCGTGGACCTGGATGGGTACAAACAAAGTTCACATTTCTAGACAATAGCTGACTCTAAATTGAGAATTGTTCCGGACGTTTTCAGTATACCTATTTTCTCGGGACTTTTATGCCCACCCCACAATCTTCCTGACCAAAGAAGAAGGGTTTTCAGATGATCTTATGGTCGAAAAGCTGAAACCAAGTTTAATCGGAATTGCGGCATTGTTTAGGTTAGATAGCAATCGTAGTATTACTGGGCTCGCTGTGAACTAGGAAAACTGGCTGAAATGGTTGCTTGTGGTATTCGAGCTGTATGGACGGAAAGACGCTGCCGACCATGAAGTTGCCCTAGCGTTACGGCGATCACGCTTAGGTTCTTGATATAGGCCGAGGCGAGTCTATACGCTCTCGTTGATTGTAAGAAATACCTGATAACAAGTTCTCTTTTCCCTGTGTGCTCATCGCCCAAGAGTTTGCTGTGTGGAATTTCAGCCAGTTGTATAACTACAGATTTTACCGAGCCGAGCATCCAAAGTAATGTTACCATGTATGATACATGCAATGTCTTCATGAACGAGTCATACCTCATTTCCTCGAGAACACGTAATTATATGTGCCCTATTCGTGAAGACTAGTGCTGTTGAGACCGCCTGACTGTATGAAAATCTCTACCTACATCGGCGTCAAGGTTGAAAATAATAAGCTCATTCTGAATGCGGCGAATCCATATTAATAGCATAATCCTTTTAATGAAAACGGCTTTCAAAATGAATAGCCGTGGTTCACATTCGTATCCTTCTGACTTTGTCATGCGAATGCAAATGCGAATAAAAAAAGCTCAACATTCGCGAATGTTCCCTACCTTGCCGGCTTCTTTCATCGTGGCCTCCTGCATTTTCTTCTGGGGTTGATAAAATAGCGTACTCCATCGTGCTTTTCTGTCCAATATTTCAATCAGTCCGACGAACACCAAAGTCTACTCAGGGCCATTGAGGACAAGGCAAACAATGAGAGAATACGAAAACAGGCAGAGCTTCGAGAGAAACAGCAAAAATATAGACACCTGATGGATTTACTCTCTCAGACAGTATGCCGGTATGACGAGGTGATTTTGGATGCAAGATCTGGGTTCCGAGAGTCTCGCCATAGCGATTCTTGCCCTTGCCATCAATACAGAAGAACGGCAAAGTCGATTGATATCAGTAATCACGAGTGGCCTTTGCCGACCAACCCTTTGCAAGCCAAGTCCACTGTGTTCGAACTCAAGGTGCCTAAGTCATTCGCGAGTTGGCGAGACACAACGTTGTTCTTCCTGTATAACTGCCTAGGTGTTAAATATGCGGCGAAGGAGCGACCACGAGCAGAGTATCGGCCGCAGACATATCCAGGCCTCTCGTCGTTTTTCACCTCCCACGGCGGGCACTCGCGGATTGGCCTTCTTTCGCAAAACAAGCCTCACCAACGGACCCATCGCCGCAACAGATTGATTGTCAATGTGACTGAAAATGACATTTGTCTAAACAACGGTCTACATTTCCAATATTTTGACAATACCGTTAAATGTTTTGTGGGCACATTCGAAAGGACGCTTCGGACCGAGAATTCCTGCGTGTATACGCTCCCGCAACAATGCTCAGTGCTGCAGCAATTCACATTTCGACCTGCCCAAGAGCCACATGGTCCTGCACCAAAGTCCCTCATTGTGACGCCACAAAGACGGTCCATTAGCAGACGCGTCTAGCTAAGACCACGTTCTGGGATCGCTATTTCCGGCGGGGTGAGAGACATTCGTACTGGGCGAATCATCAAACACAAGGACGAAATGTTCCCGCAAACGAAAATCTATCGCGCTCGAATGAGCCCACACCTCCTGCTGGAACGAATCGCCAAGGTTGAATCGAGCGCTTTGGCTGGCGTAGATTGATGTCTGGCGTGTGGCCCACTTTTCATACCATAGTTGAGGAAACCCTAACCAGACTCCACCACCCCGAGGGACAGGGTGGGCCGGGGCCATGGGCTAATAAACGCCGGCATACGACGAACTGCGTTGAACTTTAAATGGCATCCTCGATGACCCAGACGGTGGCCTACTGATCTTCCTGGCGCTAAGATTTCTTGATAGTCTGGACGCTCCGACATGTACCCCTTAGACAGGAACGCCCATCGTGGTAGTATGGCACACCCCCATGGCATAGATGTCAAGTTCTGGGGTGGCCTGCTCGCTTAGGAGTACGTTCGGCACCTGCCTTTCTAGCGCACTAATAAAGAACTCAAGTGCACGACGACAATCCTAGGAGATATAATACCAAATCTAAATGGAAATGCGTCTAGCCTCGGTGCCCCGCTGGCCAGGGCTTGACTGGCTATCAAGTAGGGACTGGGCAGAAACATTGAGCCAGCGCTTGAGCTTTGCGAATTTGTTCTCAAGCTCGAATCCCTGCTTCTCGATATCACGCAAGCGCTGTTCCGCTTTTTTTTCCATATCACGCAAGCGCTGTTCTGCTATTTCTATATCAAACAAACGCTGTTCCGCTTGTTCTTCCATATCAAGCTCATGCTGTTGCGCTTGTTCTTTCAAATCACTCACGTGCTTTTGCGCTTGTTTGTCCATTTCCTCTATACATTCACTGGCCGTATTGTTTACCTCGGAGTTACCAGCCTGGACCTGTTCAAGAATATCGACTTCGTGATGACCAAAGTCGCTCATGGCACGATCGACAATCTTGTCGATGTCGACAACATGTAATTTGAGGCGGCGCTCAATCATCTTATCGACATACTGTTTGATTATCTCGACATTGGCAAATCCGACTTTCTCGAACTCGGATGGCAGGTCAGTGTATTCTGACATGGCCAACAGATGTTGCCGTCCTGACCTGATAATGAGTTCGCGGATCTGGCCATCGGAAAACCCGCGAAGCTCACATGCAAGACGCGTAAGTCCGTTATGATCTAAGCAGTCGGGAGAGGACGCATGCGTAAAGTTGGTTGGGCGGATTGAGGCCGGTGACAGGGAGAGAACACTCGGTGTATTGACTTCGGTGGGAGTGGGAGAGGGAGAGCCTGGCGGAGGGGATGTAAGGAGCAGTTTTCTTTGTCTTTCATCAGGGGACCATGGGTCTAGATACTATTCATGAGCCACTGTGTAACAAACTAAAGAAGGCGATAAGAACATACCTCTGCCCCGTTTTCCAATCACCTGTTTAGGCACGGATTGCTCATATCGGGGTGGATCCACCTGCTGCTTGGACACGAGCGTATCACAATATGAGGGTGGATCGGGCGGACTAAAAACACGCCAAGTTGTCCGGACCATGCGTTGGCGTTTGGTGTCGAAAAACTTTTCCCGAAGACTTCTTTTTCGTAGGGCACCCAAGAAAGTTTTTAGCTGACCACGTTCTTCGTCCCCAAATTGTCGCTGGGAAATGTGTAGAAGTAGAGATGTGGATTGACAGATTTTCGCAAATGCAGCAAAATCCAAGTCTGTAGGATCGGCTGGGCTTAGAGTCTCCATCCCGGACGGACGAAGGACAATGCCGGTATTATTGAGTATCAGACGCAGTGTTGAGACGTCCGAAGGTTCGGTCTCAGGCGCCGGGAGCTTGAGAAGCAAACGGTATGGACAGAGGCCGTCGTCACTTGCCGAGACTAATTCACAATTTTCGACTATTTCTGGAGGGATAATAAACGTCAGCACCTGTGATCTGCCTCTCAGGTTAGCGAGCTGTGCCGTAAACCGAATCGAGATGGATCCTTCGTTGGCAGTTTTATCATGGGCAATAAAAAGGCGAGTACGACAAGAAAATTCGGAATCGGGTATAGAAACAAGGACAGCCTTATTCTTCAAGACGCAGTGCGGGTTTCGTGATGTGGTGGTCATTGTGTTGTTGTAACGTTCGCTGGATTGAAAAGCAGAACCCTCAATGAATTGAGTAACCCTCCCACCCTGGCTTTAAAATAGAGTTGAGCAGCCCTGACTCGCGTAAAATGTTGGATGAATAATGCTAACAATGTGAGAGTAAAGTGGTAAAGCTTTTGCGGCCTTGCAACGAGTACATGCCCTCTCCGAAGTCAACAAGTGAAATCAGAGAGTCAGATGATGGTAGGACTGGCGACGCGAACGGCAAAGAGCAATACTTCATTTACAGGATGATGATGTTGGAGGGAGAAGGTGAAGAGGAAATGCCCAGAGAGAATGGGAAAAGGGGAGGCTGGGGGCTTGGCGGGCTTGGAAGTTTGATCACGTGATCGGATACCGGACTCTGGACTCGAACGGAGTTCGGATTTCAGTATGTTTTCTTACATCCTCCATTTCATGGTCAAGATGATTTAAACCCGTTCCAAGTATTTAGGCAAATCACTTCTCGTAATAACCTTCGTAGTTGCGGTCAATCCGATAGCGAAACCAGTCTCGTCAAAGTTATGAATGTCATCAGGGTCGATTCCAAATTGAAGTATCGTTTTTTGAACCAGATCAAACCACTCCCTAATAATTTTCGGGTCTTCATATTTCGCGCGCTCGTAGTTGTACCGTTTCGAAAATCGGGAGGAGAGGAGAGGGTGCCTTTTAACAAAATTCGTCACCCAGTGTTCGCCGACCGAAGTAACCGGGGTGGTTCCACGCTGTTGAAGAAGAAGATTGGCCATCTCTCGTACGGTAGAAAGCCGGGGGGCTGATCCACGAGAATCCATAGAGAGTATCCATTTTTGAAGTGATTCCTCTTCAATTTCTGTCAATTTATCAGAATTGGCGCGAGAAATCGCGCGGTTTTGCATTCCATTGATTCGGGGGCGGAGAGTTGTACGCGGGACGTTATGTATGTAGTCTTGATTGACTAATCCAAATGCTTCGAATATCGGATATTCGAACTGGTATGTCGGATATTGTTGAGATAAGTGATTGTCTGATTTTATTCTTAATTAAATTAACTTGGTTATAGAAGAGGGGTAGCCCGTCTTTATATATCCGTTCCTAATCCCCGCCATAGGCTTCGGCCGCCGTGATATTCAACACTCCCACTCGATGGCAACCATCACCGAGGGAGCCAATGACCATTTATCACGGTTGCGGTGGGTCCCATTAAAACCTTTAAAAACCCCTTTGAAGGGAAAAGAAGGAAAGGGTACCCTTGCAGCTTAGTCTCTGCTCAAGGCCAGTAGGGTGTGGTCATCACTCAATACCAAGTCCTCTCCGAAACCATTCAAATCGTTGTCGTGCAAGAGGTTTGGTGAACCCATCGGCAATTTGCTCGGTAGTTGGAATATACTGTAGTTCTACCGTTCCAGTGTCTTGCACCTCTCCTTGCCACTTGCGTTGGATTTCCATATGTTTTGTGCGAGAGTGGTACTGCGGGTTCGAGGACAGAGCGATGGCTCCTTGATTGTCGCCACAAATGATCGTTGCGGCTTTCCCTTGGCTCATGTTCAATTCATTAAGAAGTCTTCTCAACCAGATTGCTTCTTTGGTCGCCTGTGTCTGCCCTAGAAATTCAGCTTCACAGGTTGAGAGGGCAACAACACTCTGGCGCTTCGATTGCCAACTGATTGCTCCACTCCCGATATTGAAGAGATATCCAGCCGTTGATCGTCTTGTATCATGACATCCACCCCAGTCTGCATCCGTGAAGCCCTTCAGCATCTGAAGATGGCCCATGTACGTGAGTCTGAGACTTTTTGTACTTTTGAGGTACCGCAGGATGCGTCGAGCGAGCTTCACGTGTTGAGGTCCAGGATTTGCTAGGTATCTGCTCGCCATAGAGACCGCATATGCGATGTCCCCCCTAGTCCCAAGCATAATGTACATCAGTGATCCGACAATGCGCTGGTATGTGGTCCGTTGATCTGGAGGGCATTTGTATCCTGGACTATTCTCTGGAAGTGGCGAGGTCTCTATCGGGGTGCTGACGGGAGCGCAGTTGCTGATTCCGAACTGACGAGCGACCTTGTCGATATACGCTTCTTGACTTAGGTACAGGATCCTGTTTTGACGGTCTCGCTGGATGGACATCCCGAGATAGTAGCTGCACGGTCCCAAATCTGTCATTTGAAAACGGTTTCTGAGGCTCCGCTTGATCTTCTTTATCTCCGCAATGCTTGGCCCCACAAGTGGGAGGTCATCAACGTACACCGCGATGTACATATTGCTCCGGACGAAGATACCAAGATCTGCGTTGATTGGCTCGAAGCCAAGATTGCGTAGGAAGTTTGTAAGAGTCTGGTACCAAATGCGAGGAGCTTGTTTTAAGCCATAGAGTGCCTTTCGAAGTTTGCAGACCTTTGATGTGCCGTCGGTCATGTGGTGAGGCTGTTCGACGTAGATCTCGTGATCTATGTCCCCGTACAGGAATGCCGTTTTGACATCCATTTGCTCGATCTCTAGATCCAGGGCCGCTCCGATTGCGAATAGGGCTTTGTAGCTCATTGGCTTGACAACCGAGGCAAAGGTTTCGTCATAGTCGATACCCTCTTCTTGTGTAAAGCCTCTCACTACCCATCGGCTTTTGTGACGGATGACTTCACCATGCGGTCCTCGTTTGAGTTTGAAGACCCATTTTCCGCTGAGAATCCGGCGATCTTTGGGAGGATCAACAAGCTCCCACGTTTTGTTTTGGTTGAGCGAGTTCACTTCGTCAAGCATTGCTCTTTCCCATTCCAGCCAGCTTGCGTCGTTCTTTGCTTGATGCAGAGTCTTTGGCTCAAAAGGTTCTGTTTCCTATGCAGCTACTGTTAAGAATGTTGGGATGATGTTTTCTTCAGATATATTCATTAACGCAAGCTCTTCTTCGCTGTCACTAAAAGCGTCTGGTGTGACCTGCGGAGCGCGAAGTTGGAGTTCAGGGTGGTGTTCTAGTGCTTCTTGTTGCACTGTATGAACTGGGTGGTCAAGTCGGAGTTCTGGATATCGTTGCCGTTCTCCTGAAATTTGACCTTGTTGAGCGTCGTCGTGTTGCTGGTCGCCGCCGGGTGGTGAGTCATTCCTTTGGATGATGTCTTGTAAATCATCTGCAAATGATCCAAAGGTATCATCACTCCGTGTAGGCGACAAGGTCCTATCTCCCTGTACAGCAGCAGGTGGCTGCGAGTCATCGTCACTCGACTGGGTTAGCACTCGTGAGTTATCGTTACTCAATCGAGGCAGTATGTGCGAGATATCGTTCCTCGACTTAGGTAGGGCTCGCTCTGGTGGTGCCATCGACAATTGGCGCCCAGAGGCGGGCACGGATGCTTGCCGTATGCCTACCGACGGTTCATTTATTAGTCCCACCGTCTTACTCCCCCCTGCGGCAGCAGCCGTTGCCTCAGGTGAGCCGTCTCGTCTGGCTCCCACATCTTCTATAGTCTGTGTGGAAGGAGCTGTAAGGACTTCGTGAAATTCTGCGTTTGGGGTCCCAACGATTCTTCCGTCTTCCAGCAGAATGCGGTAGTTGGTATTTCCCTCATAGCCTAGTAGAATGCATGGCTTAGTTCTTGCCTCTGTGAGCTTCTTCCTCTGTTTGGGTGGGATCAAGTATTCCCCTTTGGATCCGATCACTCTGAGTCGTGATAGGTCAGGTTTGTCGCCGTACCAAGCTTGATACGGAGTCATGTTGAGCTTTGATAACGGCGACCGGTTAGAGAGGAAGGCTGCGGTTCGAGCAATTTCTGGCTACAGTTTAGGCGGTAGTCTCGCATGTGCTAGCGTGGGCCCAACCCGATCATAAATTGTCTTATGGGCTCTCTCGGCAACCCCATTCTGCTGGTGCTGATCAACGCCTGTGACCTCGGCATGGATTGCCCGTGAGAAAAGTATGAACTTCATCTCCTCTCCCATTTGTTCAGGGATCCGGTCGAGGCGTATTCGCCTACATTTTCGTTCAGGGCGTTCATTATGGTCAAGAAAGAACCGTAGTGATTCTACAACAAATTCTTGTCGTCGTGGTATAGTGACAATCTCTATCCACCCCGTGAAGTCGTCGACGACGGTGAGCCAATAGCGACTGCCGTCAAGGCCCTCGTCAAATGGCCCTGCGACATCAATATGGAGAAGTTCCATTGCATATTCCCCTTGTCTGCTTCGTCCCGAGCGTTTGTGGGGCTTTTCAATCATTCGTCCCTGGAGACATGGGTTGCATGGTTGACGTGGTTCCATGTCCCGGATGCCGTAGGCCTGCTTCTTAAGCCGTTGTAGGTTCGCATCGCCCAGGTGAGCCAGCCGGTTATGCCAAAGAGACATTTGTGAGCTGACATGGTAAGAGGGAAAAGTGAGATTCGTCCATAGATCAAGTGCGTAGACTCCATGATATTGACTGGCAGTGTATAGGTTCTTTCCGTTTAACTTGTTGCGAATACTAGCACTTTGGCTTGAGAATTCGACTTTTGCTCCTCGTTTGAGAAGCTGGAGCACCGATATGAGGTTTGCATGTGCAGATGGGACATAGAGGACATTGTCAAGCACAAGACATTTCCTTCTGCCTTGTACATTGCACATAACGTTGACTGTCCCCACTCCCGAGGGAGTCGTGGAGGTATCGACGCTTCTCAGAGGTGGTCCATGGTACTGGTCCATCTTTACAAATCTCGAGGCGTTATTGCAGATGTGCTGAGCACATCCACTATCGACGATCCATGCGTCACGGATCGATAGGGTTTTTGTAGCCATCAATGTGGGGATTTGGTCGAATAGGGCGAAGTTGCCTTCAATGTCCTTTCCAAATGCTTTATTAACATCTTCTCCGGAGACCTTTGTCGCCATGAAGGTGGGCTTCTTTGGATGCCTTGGGCCACCGACATCATCATCTTCGTCATCCGAGGTGGGCCGCCGCTTCAACGGCTTGCGTGCACCTGTATGTGAATTGCCTGGCTTTGACTTGTGACTCTTTCCGTCTTTCTTTTGATCCCTCGGTCTAGGGTTCTTGCTGAAGCACTCAGAGTCCACATGATAAGGTTTCGGCAGAGGGAGCAATATGGGACGTTATCGATCTCGATTCGACATGTCGTTCCGTCGGACGACGGTATGACTTTCTTGTCACCTGGCCCTCGGATTATAGCGAGTGCAGGAAGCGCATGCGCCTCTGTTGGTTGTTTGCTTAATTGCCCCTTCCTATGTTCTTCCTCAATTGCCTTGTTCTCGATATAGTCGAACGTGGGTGCCGCTTTCGTGATGTTGCCATTAGCATCTCTTTCGTTAACAAGGTCCATTTGCCGAAATATATGATCACGGAAATTTTCATACTCAGGACCTAATGCGTGCACGAAAAAGAATGTTCTCTCAATCTCGGAGCTCATGCAGTCAGGGTCAAGGAGAAGTTTCTCAGCATGGATCTTCCTGATCTCGGCTCCGAGAGCTTGAGCACTTCCGCATTTCTCTCTTGTGAGGGACATGTACTGTCGCTGGAGGTTCACGTAAGTGCCAGTGCCTTCTGGTTTGAAGTTGTCTTTAACTGCCTTTAAGAGTGCCTGGACTCGAGAGATCTCAAAAGCGTTGATCCTTTGTGCCGCATTGTGGGTCAGCTTTGCCGTGATCATCGCAGAGTAGAACTTTTGGCTATGAGTCCATTGCCGCGCTTCTTCTTCTTCTATCGGTGGAGTTGTTCCATCGTCGGCAACGGCGGATATCCGAATGAACTCATTGACCTTCTGATTCCACTTAAACCAGTCACTGGCATTGTCAAGTATTGGAATGCCATTACAGAATGCATTTAATCCAAACTGCTCAAATTTCGCGATGTCAGTCATGGTGTAGGTGGACGCTCCTCTGAGCTGAAGAATTCTGCGCTGGAGATGTCGTCGGATAAACTGGAGGTAACCGAGGAACCACGATCTGATGAGTTGAGAGAACGCGCTTCTAAGCCAAAGAGTTCTAGACTTGATGCGACACTAGGCGGGCTCGAGACGACGGAAGGGCTACGGTCCGATGAGTTTGGCGTAGGTGTGTGAGACAATGGGACGTAGTCTCTGTCTGACCGCCTGTGCAGGTTCAGATGGTACCTGTACGACTTGGAGAAGTGAGGGAAACGGCGCCGGTCAACTAGATATCGCCGTTTCCTTTGCGGGAAGGTTGTCGATCTGTTTGGCCGAAGGTTGTAGCGAATTGTATTGCTGCTTTGGCCTACTGGTTCGTCTCCAGTTGCAGAACTCGGCGAGGGTAAGATTGAGGTCTCAGTGCTACTTTTCGCCTGGGAGAGTGGACAAGAAATAGGACGATGAAGATAACTTGGTCCCTGTTCAAGACCAGAACGCGTAGATTGAGTGTTGGGGGTACTGCGAGAGTCTCTTGTAGTGTTGTGAGGGGTGGTAATTGGAGCAGTGACCGCCGATGCTCGGCGTACGCGGTCTTCAGTGGACAGGCGCCAGTAGGCTCCTAAGAGTGCACTTGGTGAAAGTGATGGGAAGTATGACTTCTGGATTTGTGTAAAGCGCCAGCGACGAAGGTGCCGAAGGTACGAAAGAAGATTCAGCTCCTCGTCTGTCCAAGAGTGTCTGCTTTGCCGTTTAGTGCTTCTCCTTGGAGGTTGAGATGACCCTTTTTGAGGTCGAGACGGTAACCGCGAGGAAGCAGTTCTTGTGCTCGCTGCAGAAGGCGACATTGTTTCATATGCTCATATACTTGATATTGTTGCGATAATGTTGCGTCGAGGGCCAATGAATTAGGGGTTTCAACTCCCTTCCGTCAAAGTGTCGTTTCACTTGACGAATCACAGGGGGCGTCACTGTGATATCTTGCGACGATGTGATAGTGTGATAGTGACAGTGATGGTGTGATGTCTGTGATTATCTAGTGGAGGAAAGTCCATCCACTTCATCTCATCCAGAGGGTTTGAACTCTTGATTTCGTTACCCCTTCGCCATGTTCCTGAATCCATATGGTCAGATCTTGGGGTTGATGAAGTTTTCACTTAATGGGGAAGCTTAGCTGTAGATGGCAGTCAAAGAGTTGTCTGTTTGAATTTCTGTTGCCGAGCTGCGCGCCTAAGGGTTGCGCCACCCGGGCTCATAACCTGTTGAGATAAGTGATTGTCTGATTGACTTAGATTGAGTTGAGGAGTTATCTTTAACAGGGGCGGGATGTCTCATATATCTGTTCCTAATCCCTGCCATCAGATTCAGCCACCGTGATATTCAACACCTCTTATTCATATTCATATTATGCAATTCATATTATTCATATTCGCAAATATTCATGAATATTCATGAATGATCATATTCCTTTCGGAGCCCTACTGGTGATCCCTCAGAGGAGCCGGCTGTTTTTTCAAGGCGATAACGAACGTATAACATTTTGCTACCCAACAGTGCATACACTACGTCGAGGGATGGGGAGATGACCCCTCTTTTATTGCCGACAAGATCACGTCTGCATTACGTGGTACTCGATGCCAAGAACTATTCATCTGCCAAGAATTACCATTTTCGGTTAGGCAGGCATAGGCTGCGGCAAAACCGTGGTTTTGGGTATCATAGTCAAAACCACAACCGCAAGTTTGCGGTATTGGATATCAACTTGAAAACCGCAACCACAACCGCAGATTTGCGGTTTAACCACGGTTATCCATGGACAACCGCAAGAAAACCGCACTAGCATAGCTCTCGCCTCATTAACCGATTCTAGCCTATCAGGTGATACTTATACAGTTTTCCAAACTCTTTAACCTAATTTTGAAGATACGCCTCTTCTCGTAAAACAGTACAACGCTATAGATTTTATTGCTCATGCCATCGATTTATAAGGAATAATCACCTTCTTGTTAAATAAATGGCCCAATGTTGATATATAGTCTCTTATTGCTTGACCAGTAAGCGATAGTTGTCTGGAATTTGCGAAAATATATATAGTATAAGGGGAGAACAAAATATACCTTCTACGTGAAATATAAAATATTTCGCAGTTTGACGAAATCAAGCTAGGATAGATCTGATTCCTACTGAACAATACAGAATTTTCATTTGTATCTTAACTTATGTTAAAACATTTACTCGGAAAGATTCAGAGAAAATCTGGGTTCGATTTCAAATTCCGTGGACTTGGTGAATTTTTCCTATGTGGATATTCTGCGGTTTTGGTGTGGTTATCTTGCGGTTATCCATTGGATAACCGCACCAAAACCGCACTACCATCGCTAGTCATCCAATTAACATATAGGATGGGTTTTAAACAGGTCAAACCCCGGTCGCGAGCCGTTTGTCTCCCAAAAAGTTCGGGAAATTTCTGTACATTCCTCTCTTCCGCCTTCTCCTGATATCTCTTCCTCATTTCTAGTTTCTAGTCTTTGGAGACTTACTATAATGTCTCAGTCCCAAGTGTCCTTTTACTCTGATTCCTTTATCGATCCCGATCTTCGTCAATCAGATGACCTTCCTGATTTACCAAGCAGTCAATCGACCGAGACTTCTAATTCTTTCACTCCCCTTCCCCAATTGTCATATGCGCCGAAATCACTTGAGCGCGTCGGATCTACACTTCGAAAATTCTGGATTCTCTACGCTAGTGAGCCCGAGATGGAAGACTCCCGGAAGCAGTTTGTGGAATGGTGGTTAAACACTTTGTTTGGATCGACCCCGCAATGCCGCGATAGCTTACATTGGGATGGGAAAAAAACCTCGGTACTTTGGGAACATTTTGAACAGGTTGCAAACGAGAAGACTGGCGAGCCTAGGGTTATGTGTAAGCGGTGTTGTACAACCCTTACTCATCCAGGTCATAAGCGTACAGGGACCTCTGCGCTTAAAGCACATCTGAAAGGGGGTACCTGTCGCTTAGAGGAAAGGAAGCGAGGAATCGACCAATTATTCCGTAATTTAGTAGGTGTTTCATACCTTCATGAAGAGATAGAGAGAAATCGCTAATATTATTATGATCTAGCCGCGGGTACCAACAAAAGTCTTCACCAATGATTTTCTCCAGCGAAAAATTCTCAATTTTATTACCACCGCCCGTCTCCCATTTCGGATTATTGAACACCCTGAGTTCAAAGACCTCCTTGAAGCTGCCCAGCTCTCTGAATCCCGGCTTGATATTCCTTCTGCGCGGACTATCAGACGGCTTTTAGACGACACTGTCCGGGAACAGCAAAGAAATGTGCTTAGTAAACTTCCAAAAGGAAGCCATCTCTCAATTGCACTTGACTGCTGGACATCTCCCTTTTCCCAGGCATTCATGGCAATAACTGGATATTTTCTTGATCAAGAATGGAATTACTGCGAGGTTCTTCTTGGGTTTGAGCATCTCCAAGGATCGCATACCGGTGCTCATCTAAGTCAGAAAGTGATTCAAATACTCCAGGAGCATAATATCAATGATCGGGTATTATCAATTACCACGGATAATGCATCGAATAACAACACCATGATGCTAGGTGTCCAAGAGATGGTTCAATCGCATGTTCTCAGTGAGACGTCTGTCTTCCGGATTCCATGTATTGCGCATGTTATCCAGCTGAGCCTAAAAGATCTACTTGGAAAGATAAAAGCGAATCCAACCAATAAGGAGGCGGAGTCTGAGTGGCCTGATGCACGTATGCAGTCACTACAGACTAACTCCCGGCGGCCAACAAGAGATATTGTGATAACCTTAAAGAAGGTGAATATATCGCCGCACTCTCTTTATAATGATACTAACAGATTATCGTTAGATTCGAGAGCTCGCTGTCTTTATCAATGCTAGTCCGCAGCGCAGAGAAGCTTTTCTTACTCTTCAGACTACTGAGCCTAAGCTTGTTCCGATCCAAGATGTTCGCACACGCTGGAACTCCACCTTCCTCATGCTCAATCGTGCCAGGGAATTACAATCCGTCTTCGATCGGTACTGTATAGCATATCAACACGTTCAGTTCAAGCTTGATCAAGAGGAATGGCGCCAAGTCGAATATTTGCTTCTGGTCACTAAGCCTTTCTATGATTTTACTAGTGTATTATCAAAGACCAGAGACGTTACTGTTCACCATGTCTTCAGTATCTACAATCGGCTGTTTACCCATCTTGATGACGCTGAGAAGAAACTGAAACGTAAAGCTGCCCCATGGAAAAGGAGTATGCTTCAGGCGCTTCGATCGGCAAAGAGAAAACTTTTAAAATACTACACTGCAACGGAAAATGAGCCATATGGCATAGTCTATGCGATTGCAACTATTCTCTGTCCGTCAAAAAAGCTTCGATACTTTGATAACGCGGATTGGAGGGGGAACAATGGGAAAGGGGAGGAAGTCGATTTTACGAAGCATTACCGGGAGGTTTTACAGAAGGAGTTCAAGCGATATCAGCAGCAATTTAGCCAGCAAACAGTACCGGCTGATAGCCAAGAAACCGTGGATGCCGCTCAAAATGAGCTTGAGCTATTATGTGAACCAGAGACTGCGCTCCGAGCTGAAGTGGATCAGCGGGAAGATGAGTTGACACGTTATTTGGCCAAAGGCAAATATTCTCCCATTACTTATACCATGCGAAAGCTAATTGATGCTACAGGGCTCACAAAGGGTAACCCTCGGCTCTTCTGGAAGGGACATGAGCGCGAGTATCCGATCCTTGCAAAGATTGCACGAGATATCCTCTCAGTTCCTGCGAGCGGTGCTGGTGTCGAGCGACTCTTTAATTGTGCTCGGGATGTCTGTCACTATCGTCGGGGACAGTTGAAGCCAGACACAATAAAAGGCCTAATGCTTCATCTCTTCTCGTCCAAGTTTGATCTTGAACAAACCGAACTAGAGATGATCAAAGGTTATTTGTCGGTCGGAGAGGTTGCAATGCTTGATCTGACAAGGAAGTCTGTTCCGCCGCTCAATGAAGTCGAACCGATCAGTGACAACGAAGACGAGGGTTGCGAAGCAGAAAGTACATTTGAGGATGACACAGATGAATCTGATAATGAGGCCGAAGAAGAGTTATCTGCCACGCAGTCCGTAGCTCAAACTAGGCAGATACAGCAGAAGCGGCGTCGAAGTAAGACCTCTGAGGCTCTAGATGATGCTGATAATGGTCTCCCACTTCCGGTGATGCCAATTGAGGAGAAGACGCAGGCTAGGCCAGGAAGGGTTCGGAAGAAACCTAAGTTACCGGAGGGATTTGAGATTGATAAGCTGTGATATTAGAAACTTAAAAAAGAAATCGAAATTTGGTCTAAATATTTTATTCTAGAGATTTCATATGAAGAGAAACAGGTAATCCTTTACATACTGGATACGCCAAAATACTACGAAAGGTTCACAATCTATGCAGTCAGAAAAACCACAATGTTTAAATATCCATGGATAACCGCAAAAACCGCGGGTTTTTGAAGTGAAAACCACAGCCGCCCGCAGAGCGCCTGCCACTCATCTAATCCCGCAATGTCGAAGAAACGTCTTCTGCGCGAGCTCCTGCCTAGGGAAAAAGAATTCAGCATGTGGTATCTGGAAACGCACTCGTCAACCAAACAGCGGCGAGTTTCTCTGGCCTGTACTGAGTGTCAGAAAAGAAAGTCCAAAGTAAGAAATATCGTTCCTCATTGGACGACAGAGCTAACCCAGTGTAGTGCTCCGGTACGGCCCCATGCACGAAATGTGCGACCGAAGGTCGCCAGTGCTTATATGATCCAGCCGGTGATCGGAGACGCAAGGCTCATACCGCCGAGCTGTTAAACTTCCGTGTCGCCCTTTGCCGAATGGCTGCAATGCTGCGCTCTGGAACGGAGGAGGAGATATCACGGTTGATCCGGGAGATCCAAAACCTACCAACAGATCAAGATGCAGTCAATCATCTTGTTGATGGATGCTCATTGCATGGAAATCCGAAAATTCATTAAAATGCCCACTGGTTGCAGATCAAGCCAACATCGAGGGAAAGGACATATTGCAGTTCAAATCTGGGTCAATTTTACACCAGGCGAGGACGGTCTTTTGGTACTTGTGTGGGTTCTACCTCGAATTTTCACCTCATAGATCCATCATCCACCTAGGCTACCACCCGAAACGATGCCGCTCCGCCAGGATTGGGGGTGCACGGAAATCTGGAAAGCAAAATTATTCTGTTCTCAAAGCAGACTTTCCAATTGTAACCTTTTGCATACATGTCAGAAGGAAATTACTGCCACATCTCATTTCGGATAGTATCTACTCGGAAAAGTTTACAATGAAGCGGAACTCTGATGTATGTATGGGGTAAAAAGTGAAGACAAAGTTGCAGTCAGAGAGTTACTTGAAGATCGGCCATTTGCTTCGTCGATGATCTTACCGATCCGCCCAACATCGACAATTGAATATCGGCCTGTTAAGAGTCTTGGTGTGAGTCAGCTGACTGAAGCGCAAGATAAAACCACGTGATCTGCCATAGCATCATCAGCCGGCGGTTGCTCCAGCAACGGTCAATCTGTTAAGGGGTTCCAAGAACTCACCTTGTCCAAATTTTGACTTACCCGACGTCCTCCGACGAGAGAGAATAAACCTTTGGGCGTACCATGTTGCGTTCAATCCACCCTGATGTGTGCTGGGCAAAACGTCGCGATATTGTCCTGGATAGAGGATGTTGCGAGGAGCGTGCCCAAAACCCCGCCCAACACTGATCGGTTCGAGAAACTGGTGAGCAACCTAACGACGCCACCTTCAACCCCAGTGATTTAGCACAAACGCAAAAGGTCGTTACCTGAAGCCGAAAATTCGATGCCGCAGCCAGATCCTTCGAAAAGACCCTATCGAACTAGTTCCGAAACAGCATCCACCATTTCCGTCCGCCTACCTGAAGACATCGCCTGCTCTGGCCCCATCAAGTTCCGCGGCTAGTCGAGGTGGGAGGTCACGTTCATCTAGTCCATCACGCGTGAAAGCAGAACTAGCCGCCGCCACCCCCCGGGTCGTCTACGTACATGAATCTACCGACCCGAACAGCGTCGTTGCGTCTCAGCTATTGGCAACTCTAACACAGGGCTCTGAGTTCGGCCCGGATGAAAATATTGCTCGGAAAATCTCGAATGCGTCGTGTCAATGTGCTACTGAACTGCGCAGTGAAGGTTCCTGGTTGAACAAGGTCGCACTGCCGTTGTTGGAGGGGGCCATTGCGGAATTGCCGTTAGAGTGTTGGAGCATGTATGTCCTAACCACGAAGACCCTGCGTGTTCTACTTCTTTGTTGCTAAGTTTTTGTAGTTAAACAGAGTCCGTTGACCCTTAGTACTAACCTCGCTACACAGCCCGCGATACATACAACCGCAAAGTGGACCTAGTTGTCGGTCTGCCTGTTGAGTTTTGGAAAGTAGACTATGAACAGGCGGGGCTCAATACACCAGGGAAATGCTTCAGCCATATAACCCATCCACACACTGGAAAACGCATTCTGGGCCCTGGTGTTGAGATTAAAGCCGCGGACGGAAACTTAGTAGAGGCGCAAGTCCAGCTTGGGGTATGGATGACAGGACTACTTATGTGGGCTTTCGCACAACGGAAGAGTGTGAAAGACTTGCCTCCGCTTGTTGGTTGTACTGCTGTCGGAGAGGACTGGAAATTCTATATTGCAATCGGGGTCGAAGGGTCTGGCGTTCTGGGAGAAGTAGTAAGTAATACGCTTCAGTGACTATTAATAATGGCTAAATATTATTTCTTCAGCGCATCTGGGGTCCTTTATCTGACTTGGACGGCCGCACCACGAGTGTCAAACATACCACATCTCTTCTGGGAACACTTCGCCGCGTCATGGAATACACAATCGGGCAGTACAAGGAAGGAATTTTCCGAGCGGTTACTTCTGGGACTTAAGAGTGGCTTTCAGTCACGTGAACTTTCTTTCATTTTGGCCTAGCCAGCCAGGGAAAGAACTTGACGTACTCTCTCAAGCTATTAGGTAGCACAAACCACCATGGCGGGAAATTACCTTTGCAAGAGCTCTGCTTACGTATTATGGGATAGGACCGAACAACTATTGGAATAAATTGGAAGACATGCATTATATATACATGAGCCTTTACGAACAGTCAAGTTCATTTTCAATTAACACATTGTGTTGGCATCCTAGATAAAGAAAAATGAGGGTTTCAAATCCTGCTAACTTGACGCATGATTGTGATTGCTTGGCAAGACCAGTCTTGCTATTGGAAGTAGGCAAGGACTTGGAAACTTTTGTAACCCCGAATCCGAAAAGAATAATATGTGAAACGAAAAAGCTGAGGGCCTTAAGGTCAAGCCGGCGTCCGTGGATTTGAAAATCCCAGGAAGGTCAACGACACAGATGTGATTTTTATCCGGTCCATGAATCTCCAGCCGAAGAACGTCCGCGGCAAACGTGGGCTGGCCGTCGCCCATTGCGGTTGATAGACCCCCATGGTGATTGGACGAGCTAAGTTTCAGGCCGATGCAGAGTTCAGAAGGACACTTGCCTCCGTCATCATATCCCCAAACTCGGTTGCACTCAAACTTCCAATGCCATTGACACTCCAACACGCATTATTTTCATCGTGACGGGCGGCCAACATAATGGATCCAGTCACTCTGCGCCTTCCCAAGCTAGGATCTCTCCAGAATAGAATCTGAGTGTTTCCTGTGATTTGGATGAGAACCGAGATATTATCGTTCATGTTTTGCTATTCACGATCCCCTCCTGGCAGCCAGAATCTGCTCTCTATAATATCAGTGGAGTTTGCATGACAGAAGGAGCAATAGAGACACATGCAACTAGGTGATTTCAAAAGCCATGTGGTTCTGAATTCTCTGAAATAGCCTTGATCCAGTGAGGCGGAAAGCTAAGGTTCTATCCCATGGGGAAGGGGACTGATGGTGAGTCGGATTAGGGCTTTGCTTTTTTGTATGGGAGAAAAAAAGTGGGCCCACGGCCAGTCGATTTAGCAGTTGGCGTCGGATCATGCTTAGATTTTCAGGAGTTATATTCCCAGTATTAGATTTTGAACAGTCCAAAGTTCAATTAGATGAATACGGGGTTAAGAAGAAATCCAGGGGTCTTTAGAAGTCCCAGCTATCGTCCAGTTCAATTTTGGAAAAATTCCACCACTTCATCCACCCTAGTTTGTTATACAATTTAGATATTTGTCGTATATATTTATATACATATATCCACACAGCAATATGGAGAACCAGATTTTTATCAAACCGTAGGAATTTCCCATCATTATTTGCAAACAGTGCAAGATCGGAGTCCGACCAAGTGAAGTCAGTCTTCACATCCAGAGAGCCCAACACCGACTGGGATTACCCACCGGAAGGCAGTTACAGCACGCCATCCAGCAGTGGAACAGAGTGCAGCAGTGTAAACGTTGGGAAGTGCCCACCGCCGTCCACGATCCCATTCCCGGATTGTCAGTTCACAATGATGGATTATTGTGCACCCGTACATCCGAATGCTGGTATGTGGTCCGGAGCGTTGACGTTATAAAGCGCCATTGGCGTGAGAAGCCCGGCTGGAAGCCCAGTGGCAGCAAAGGTCGTCCCCGGCCAATCCTTCCTGACTGATTCGCGAAACACGTGCTATCTGGATCCGGCGAAGGACTGGTTGATAACTCGGGTCGGCCGCCTTTTCCGCACCTTCTGGTCCCAGAACGTCGAGGGCCGTTGGGTCGTATCGGCCGACGCGGCCCAGCAGTATGAGAATGCCGTCCAGCGGTTTCTTCGAGTCGTGATGGTCCCATTTTTCTCGGTTCAGGGCAGCAAGGTCGCCGTGACGAGTTTATTGGCCTACGGTGGCGGAATACCCACGTTGATTCTTCTTTTACGACGGACAGATGCTATTTATTCTAAGCTACTATAAGTCGCGGCATCAGAACAATGCCTCTCGATGGCCTGTCCGACTCCTGTTGCCCGAGGTCGCGCAGCTTATAACGCAATATCTTGCCATCGTGACCCCCTATACTCTATGCTTAACTGGTGCGAGGTGCTCACACCAGTTCTTCGCCCGATGATTGGCCCGTTGTGCGTGCTCCCGCGTCTCTGTATGGGTGGCTTGTTCGCTATACCCCATCTCGCCAAGTTCCATTGCCTCCAGATCGATCAAATGGTCAATATCCACATGAAAACTGCCCAAAGTTGTAAGCACGCAAGTAATCCCGTGCGCTTTACCCCATCTGCTGGCGACATCATGGAAATTTTCATTGGAAAGTTCAAGCACTAACCGACCGGCAAATATTGTGACTAGGCTGCGGCACTATCCAAATTATCCGCAGATAATCGATTATCGTATCCGTAAATTGCGGATAACGATATAAATTCATTATCGAATTATCCGCAACGATACGATACGATAATTATATTTTCATGTGCGGATATCCGCGGATTATCGTACGATAACAAATATTGCAAACATGCTAAGACTCGTGACCTGAACGAGTTTGCATAAATCATGCATTTTCCCCGGTATGTTTTGGAGTATTCAATGTGTAATTGATTGTATATTTGTCACGCGAATGAGTGGCCTACGATCTTTTCTCCAAATTAACCTACTTTGTCTCGCTTTATTGCAACAGCATTCAATTATCCAAGATTATATTACAGGTTATCAAATGCAAATCCATCTGGCTGCTTTGGCTTCTTCCGAATCCTCCCCGATCTCCCCTGCGTGGACCCTTCAGTTGGCATTTCAGGAAGCGGGAGATCATTATCACCATCATCCTGAGGCTCAACGGCACTATGAGGAGACGTGAAGGAAATAGGGGATGAGTACTGTTATGACCAAACATGTAAAGATTCAGATGTAAAATAGTGTTTTGTCAGCTTCATAAGTATCACCTGATGGTCCAGAATAGGATATATTAGCGAATTTTATGCTAGTGCGGATAGTTTGCTGATATCCAAACTATCGTTTAGATATCCGCGGATATCTGCAATGACGATGATGATAATGATCCATTATCCGCAATCCGCAATTTGCGGATAACGATAACGGGTCATTATCGTTATCGTACGATATGCCGCAGCCTAATTGTGACCTTCCAGGGTGCTTTGAGTTGTACCGATATTAGTACGCTATGATTCAGGGCAAATTTCGCTCTTGGTCTTAAACTGGGCTTTTGATATGTTATAGACAATTATTGACTGTATATATGCAACCTTTTGATGGGAATGGTGGTTCATTTGGTTTTGCTTGAGGTTCTTTCATTGTCCTGCGCCTCGAGTTGCTGTTTAACGAGTTCCATGATCAAGCTATACCCAGAAAGGCCTGCTGCCATATATGAATAGTCCCCCATTTGGAAGTAACAATTGGCATTAATTGAGGCTCAACCACTCAAGCCAAGAAGCGTAATGATTGAATCGGTTCAGCTATAGTGTTCTTGAAGGAAGATCTTATTGTGTCCTTTTCAACATATTCAATAGTTCTGTCACTCCACGCGTTCTCTTCGATCCAATGGATGAAGCGAAAAATATCTTGATCAAAGAAAAGGGATCTAGGGATCCACGGCCTTGGTTGTAGGGAGAACCTGCTTATGGACCGAGACTAGCCATTTGAAGACCGGCTTCTATGGATGCTGTTGCTGATTCTTCGAAGTCGAGCGGAAAAAGCAACTGACCACTGACAATTTTACCAATATGCGTCCGTCCAATCCGCTGGCAATCTTTCCTAATCTGTGACATTAGAATCTCAAGGAATTTGAGCGGGCTCTGACTGAAGCCTGCCTTCGCTCCCGGGAAACCTCGTTTGATGAATCCATCCGCAGCGACAACAAGACCGGGCGGCGTTTTCACAGACGCCACCCCCAAAAATTCACAAAGGTCCTTGTACTCGGAATATGATTCAAGATACAGCTGCCCAGAAAACAGGTTGAGCAGCATACGGAATATATCAGGTATTTCGGTTTTGACAACATCATCGGGGACCGTGTGTAGCCTAAGTCTATCCAAAGAGGGAAATCCTCGGCTTTGGCGTGGGGCATACAAATGAAGAGTGACAACACGTGATTCTCGTATCTTGGACATCAAACCATTGGCCTCGTAAGGGCTAATGATCATCATGCGCAACTGAGGTGTTCCGTCATCGACAACATGGTTTCGACTTGTCAGGACCCATCTGACAGGACGTTGGAAAGCATCAGCAACAAAGTGCGAGCCCGGGGAAGTCTTGATGGTTCTAACGAAGTCGTTGGAAGCCAGTAGACTGGATGGGAATTGAGATACGTCCAGAAAGCAGGCGGCGGAGGTATTGCGCAGCGTGAGATATGCTGGCTCATAGGCCTCGGAAGACCTCACAAGAATGCCTGTAGTGACAAATGAAGATATGTGTGGATGGATATGGTGCGTTTCGGGTGTAGCACTTGGAGGCCTCTGAACCTGGCGCTCACTTTCAACCTCTGGTGCGAGCTCGCGCTCCTGTTCCTCTTGAAGGGAGGACGAAGTGTCGAGACCTTCAAACTTGCGGCAGCGCCTCCAAATCAAATTTAGATTCGGGCTAGTATCTGAAGGACAGTTAAATAACGGCCGCGCTTGATGACCAGGTCGGTATCGCTGTTCAAGAGTTTGGCATTCGGGCTCGAGAAATTCCTGGGCTTGTCTCGGCGTCAGATCAAGACAATCATTTTGGCGGTAAGCTTGCCACAATTCCCGTTGGCGCTCGAATCGTGTACCCTGGACCGCCCAAAGGGGAATACTGTGTCGGCTGTCAATCCACGTCTCGGAAATGGCCCAGAGAAGCACGTCCGCGACAGTGATCTGAGAATTCTTGTCCTTGCCACTCAAGGCCAGGATATTGGACTTGACCTCCTCTGGAACGCAAAAGACGACAGACTGTCCGTTGCCCAATTTTCTCATTCTCATGCACGCTGGAGCATAGTCAGTCTTGGCTTTGCCTGATATGAAGAATCCAAATTTCGTACCTTGAACCAATTTGTCCTTCGTGATACCCGGACCCAGCGTGACCGCCGCACGATAATTAGACGGGAGCTTCAAATCGATTCCTCTGGTATGTGCTTCGTCCAGGAAAACAAAGCATGCTTCCATCTGTCTTGCAAACGGTGAAATTTGCAATAGTTCAACACGTCCAGTTCGATCCAGGACGCAGATGTCGTCTTTGTCGTTTACAAATACCACCGCTTGGACTGGTCCTTCGTTTGGGAGCAGTTTTAGCCAGTGCGCTGCCAAGTCATGATTACTGAGCTCCAGAATCTGTGCGCCCACATCAAGAATCACCTGAGCCGGTGGATTCAGATCCAATACCAGGTCCAATATGATCTCGGCATCTGACTTGCATGGCTGGACTTGCTGTGGAATGCAGGCCACGGAATTTTCTGGCCGCAACAAATATTCCAGCACCAACGCATTCGTGTGGTTTTGCTCCGGCAGGTCGAGTTGCGAGACGCTCAGTGGTAGGGTTTCTCGTGAATCATTCGTCCCACTAAACCCTACTGTAGGATGTGTTTTGATCTCCCCGATATCCCAGCCCGACGCAGACAACTTGTCAGGAAACTCCTTCATTTCTTTCGGGAATACGACGTGTGTCAAGAAGTAGTCTACAGTAGCTTTGGAGAACCGCAGAGCGGGGAACACATGATCGGTACAATGAGACCGGTCATCCAGATTCACTCCCACAAGCTGCTGGTAGGTGGGTGGAAGCCTAGAAGCATCGTTCGTCCACTCTTGATACTCTGCACTCGCTTGGTCTGACCCGACCAGATGATTGAAGGCGAGAAATATATCGTCGTCGCCAAGTCCGGCATAGTAGTAATTCAGACATGTCAACAGAATCACGACATCGGGATGGCTGAATTCTGACCGAAGGGAAGGGCTATCCTTGGCTCGATACGGCACACAAAGTCTTGTCGGTGGATTTCGGCTCCTATCAGGCCCATAGTTGACGCGCCATCGTTTTTGACCCAAGCAAAAGGCTAGAACGCCCCCAGCGAGCAGACCCCGTATCAACAGGAGGGATGCCCGTGTGCTATCTCCCCAAAATCCTGCGGAATCCTCGCACTCCACCGCCGCGATTTCCTCCACCAGAGGCTCAGATTTCATAATGTAGGTGTAGACGGCATCTCGAATGGGCCGAGCCTGCCTCGAGATTGACAGAGACCCAATACCATTCTCACATATGTGCCTTCCGACGTATTGAACCAAAGCTTTCTCAGCATCCTGTTTGAGCAAACGTATCCGTGGAAAACCGCCATGCGGCTGCTCGCTCACTTCAATGGAGTCGGGGAATTCGGATTGGACGCGACCAGCATAATCTCGAACCAGTTGTAACAGCTCTTGTACCACAATCCACCGTCGTGGGCTGAGTTCGACGGGGCGTTGAGATCCCATGGTATAGATCAATTCAAATTTGACGCTAAAGTTTTCATCACTTTCGTCCACAATGTCCCGGGAGTTGTGTTGGAAGAACTGCAACGTGCGAAGTAGAGAACGGCCCACGGCGCATTTCCCAGCAATAAAACACTCAAGGCTCATCAGTTTCAAAGATAGGATATGCTCGGGTTGGACGAGCAAGACACCGCCCTGCGACATACACTCTAAACACATGCGTTCAATCTCCTCTGCTTCGGCTTCTCCAAATTTCAGAGAGCGTGCAATGGGCATGTGATACACACGCCGACCCAAGAGACCACCCAACTTCGTGACCAGCATTTGAAACATTTGTCGTGATTGCGGCTTGGCCACAAGAACGCGAACCAGACAAACTCCATTCGCAAGATCTGCTACCACCATAGGAACAATAACTGAAGATTTCCCCTCGCCCATATTCAATTGCATGACGGCATTCTTTCCCGGGACAAAGTGCCTCATTGTCGCCGCAATTTCCTCCTGAATGCCTCTTATCAGGATCCCGTTCTCTATCTCAAGCAGAAGAGTCTCTGGGAACCGGATTGGCTGCCAGTTCGTATGTCCTGAATTTTCGAGTTCTTTCAGGAGTTCGTCCGGGTGCTTGAGAAGGCGAGCTAGTCGTTTCGCTCGCTGCAATTTAGTGATTGAGCACCCGTAAGCAATGAAACATTTTTTCCAATCTAGGTCTAGTGGACCCCATCGATGGCGCGACAGTTGCTCCAAAAAAAGGACTGGTGACAGCCTTGGGTACTGCTGCAGTTCCAGGGCTACTGCGATTACCTTTGCCCTGAAAGGATGGATCGTCCCTGACCAGGTGGTCTTCTCACGAGGACAGAGCTCAGACACAAGTGATCGATACACCCTGTCGACATATTCTTGACACGATGCAAGATAGTCCAAAATATTTGTCTCCAGCTCTCCTTGAGCCATATTGATGTGCTTTTCTTGTCTGCCATCTTTCAACGAAGCAACACTGCTTTGTAACTGTTCGACATAGTTTTTCTCGTACTTGGATTTGGCTTGTATACCCAAAGAGTTTAGCAACGCCACCAATGTGGAAGCTGGAGGTTGTCCTGTCGACGATGTAGAGACAAGGTTCCTTAATTGCGGTTCTTCAATGTCGATGATTGGCTGCGGGCCGAGTAGGTCATCAAAGAGCACAAAGCCACGTTTTTTCGGTGCACTTTGAGGTGGATGTGGTAGCTGGTAGGGTTGAATCTCGACCTCTTCGATCAGTTGATGGCAAGTGACATTCGCAATGTCGGTGATGTATCGCTTCAGATCTCGATTGTCGAACCAGATACTGAACAATTTTGAAACTTTCATCATCATCTCCTTTGCATCAAAGTAGTCATTCACTGTTGGATTTAATAGTGAGGACGGTGATCGGGTGGGCCACTCGCGTTCAAAATGTAGCAACAAACTTTTCTTAATGGCTTCCCGATTTTGATTCCGGAGTCTATCCCTGCGCGACATGAGTTTTTGAAATGTCTCATTCGTTTCGGGCGCAAGTTTTGACTCTGGAGTGACTTTACGCTGTTCCGACTCGATTTGACGGCGAATTGAAGTTTTAATCATCTCAACTCCCTCTTTTGGCAAAAACAACGCACTGGTTGGCAGATGGATTGAAGCCAGGTCACGAATCACAAAAAGTGAAACAATGGTCTCAAGGGCAATCATATTAGCTTCATTGGAGAAAGCAAGGGCTGCAAGCCAGATCATGAGCTGGAATTTGCCGAGGCGGCGGGTTTGTGAGCACGCGAGGTGGTGTATGCTGCACCAATTACTGACAAGAAACTCTCTTGACTCTAGTATCCACTCAGCATCGTACCTCAACCTTTTCGTGTCCAATGGAGTATGAGGGCCACGAACCCCGGTGGGTAAAGAGAGGAATTGCCAAAGATGCGAGGTCAACTGTTCGGATTGAAGTTTGCGGACAGAAGGGATCCCTTTGTAAAGCATCTTGCAAACGGCAAAGCTTCGAGACGCTGCGCAAGATATCCGATTCTTGTCGAGACTGTTGTACATGCTGTCGTGCTTCTGCGTATGATCGTCGGCGCCGAATCCTGGGGCGCGGAATGAAGATGTGCGGATTCGCTCCCGCAAAAACAGTGCTTGCTCCACATGTGGAAGTGACGGGTGATTAAGCTCTGTCCCGAGTTGGAAAATGCTCATGCGACGGTTTTGGTCCAGTATATCTGCGACTTCCTCGCGAAAGCCATGGTGCTGAGAGAGGCAGCCTAGACCTTGCCGCCAGTGGATGCTCTGCATCACTTGCTCATTATCAGGATAGAATCTTCTGGCAGGAGTGAGAGATGCGATGCTCTTGAGGAGTTCAATGTGTTCTGTCTGCAGGCGATCAAAAGACCTCAGGGACGCGGACCGAAGTATAGACAGAGCCTGCTCGGTACCGGTCTTCTTGGTGAGTGGATCTGGCAGGCAGAAAGACGTAAGAGCATGCAAGTACGTGAGATATAGCTTGCTCTGTAGGCTTCCATTGTCCAAAAGCCGTCCGAGCTGGCGATCGATGGGATACGCATGGATGGTGGTCGCAGGTTGCCAACCGATCTCGACACGAACGTGGTTGCCATCTCTGGCCCAAGATAAAGCTCCTTCAGGTATGAGGACCACTTGATCGTAAGAGTCACGGTTCGTGAGCAGAAGCGTGTTGCGTAGCCCAATCAATGAGTCAAAGACTTGGTTACTATCGACTGACATGCCAGGATATTGTCGAGATTGGATTGCAGAAGACTGTGACTTGAGGATAAATTCCAATCGAAGGCGCGGTAGCTCAACATGTAGATTTGAAGAGGCCTCGTGGAAAATACAATGCACTTTCAAAGCCTTTTCAATCGGCTGAAAAACATTGGATATTACTTGGGCCGTTTGGCACATGGTGCTGACCAAAATTGTTCCGTTCCTCTTGAGGCTCCAGGAAGCTTGACAAGAGCTTCTCTGGAGCTGCCAGTTTTGACTGGATGACAGCCATGGCGCTTTCAAGGGTCGGAATTCCACCAGGTCCCCTAAGACCGAATACCAGTGCGCATAGCCTTCCACAAACTCATCTGGAAAAACTCCAGCAAAAAGTCTAGACGGAACCAGTTGCCAGACTTGCTCCCCACCCTTCACCGCTTTGACTGACATGTCGGAATCAGTGGACTCTGGCACGGTCTCTTTTCCGAGGTGTACCGTGTAGCCCGAATACTGCTTTTGACACGAAAATTGCATCCCCGGTGTGTTGCTGGGCATTACGTCCAATTGAGATTTCCCAAATAAGCTGCGATATGTTGGATGAGATTCATACTCAGAAGGCAAACGTGCAAGCGGGAGGCCATCCACAAGGAGCTCTCCAGTCAAGAGGTTGTAGTGCAACAACATGTCTTCGCTAGACCCGGACTGGCCGGCAAACCGAGTAAACAACCAATATGTCACGTCGTTTGACTCCCTGGACCACTTAGAGGTCTTGTCATAGGCTGCCCAGGCTGCGTCAATGGCCAGGTCTAGTCCTGGGTTCTTGCATTCAACGATACGCTCTGCGAGAATAACATGGCTGCGATAACACAGAACTTGCCACCGATGGTACAGAATTTGAAGCAATGAACCTGATTCTGTTGTTAGAGAGTTCCTCCCGTTCCAAATGACTGAACAGCACTGCAGAAAGATCGAAACATCTGCCGAGATGGCGAACATAGGGGCAATGGTTTCTGCATTGAATGTCTCTGTGCAGACCAAAGCGATATGAACGCTCTTTGCAATTAAATTGGTTTTCTGTGTATCATCAATAGCCTCACTAGCTTTCGTTCTGACAAGATTGACCCAGTGGAAAGCAGATCGGCGGAGGTTGTTTAGACACTGAAGGCACATCGCACAGACTTTCTGAGAAGGAGACAAAGACAAAATCCTCAAAACCAGCCGAATGAGACTATTGATCCCATGTATGGTCTCCCAATTTTGCTGGATCCTCTCCATTGTCTCTTCAATTCGCGAGAGTACCTCGACTGTGAATACCTCGTCGCACAAAATCGCATGTCCTTGTCTCAATGTCGTGCCTGTTTTGGATGGGCCCGCTTGATTGATTATCTGGAGCACAAAGATTGTGGTTTCGATTTTTTTCATGTCCACCGATGGCATTGACAGTTCCAGCAGGATATTTTGCCATTGGATCTCCAGTCCAAGGGGCATGGTTGCAAGGGCTTTGTATTCTTCCAGTGACATGTCAGCAGGGGCATCGCACTGTGTCGCAATGACAGTATTTGGTGACGGGCCATGTGGATTCATGGCAGGTCGAAACAGAAATTGCTGCAGCGCTGAACTGTGTGCGGGGAACCTATAGGTGCAGGAAGTCTCTGTTTGATGAGTCCAGTCAAAGCCGCTCACAAAACATCCGAGAACATTGTCAAAGTATTGAAAGTGAAGTCCATTGTTGAGGCAGACATCATTTTCCGTCACATTGAGAATTAACCTGTCGCGTCGATGAGTTCTCTCGTGAGGCTTATTCTGAGAAAGAAGACTGATCCGCTGGTTACGCCCGTGGTTGCTGAAGAACGAAGAGAGACCTCGATATGTGTGTGGACGATGCTCTGCTCTGGGCCGTTCTTCCACCGCGTACTTCATATTCAAACACCGATGCAGGAAAAACAGCGTGGTGTCACGCCAGCTTCCAAAGGGCTCGGGTACTCGAAGTTCGAAGACAGTGGCTTTGGCCCTTGAACAATTGGTCGGCAGAGGCCACTCATGTATGCTGATGTCAATCGACTCGGCCTGCCTCTGATAACGTTCTCGGGGGCAATCACTGTGGTGGACTCTATCCCGAAGCCCAAGTCTCTTATCCACAATGATTTCGACAGATTCACATGGTGTCTTAGAAGATAATGCCATCAATTCCCGGTAACGTTGCTGCTTTTCCCAAAGCTCGACCTTTTTCTTCGTCCTCTCCTGAGTGGCATTTTCTTCGATGGCTGCAAGCAATTGCTGATGTTTGTGAGACTGCTCGAAGTATCGAACAGCGAAGCAGGAGGAAGTCCCGAATTCCTGGAAAATGTTCGGGCCATGGTAGCGAAGGCGAGCCTGACGTCGACTCAGATACTTTTCAGCACACGCCAGCCTCTCCATGTGCGATCGAAAAGGCAGCAAAAGTGATTGAAAGCAGTCAACTGGTATGCATGCGTCATAGTCTCTCAGGGTCTCATGTAGGTGAATCGCGGATTTGTCGCAGGCAATCCACAACTCTAAGAGCGTAAGAAGCATGACTGATGTAGCTTCGGGGTTGTCTGAATACGACGAAGACGCTTTCTCGAAGTATCGAGTCATCAAAGCACCGAGTTGACCACAGGCTGCCTCCTCGCCCTGGTGAATTTCCAGCCATGCATTGAGACCCGAAGCAACCCAATCCTCAAAGGCAGCAAGGTTGTACGCTTGGTAATCAGAATCGTGTGAATCGAGGTGATTTGGAAGCTCTGTTCGTTGGTATTTGATCAACTTCGATTGCGGCTGGAAACTTTCTCTGCACGGGCGTTTGTTGCTTCGATTTTCTATGCTCTCGATGTAGCGGTCAAGGCAGGGGAGCGCACATTGAATATCTTGACGGAAATTTAAATCACGCAGCAGTGGCATGTCGACACTGTGGCTATTTTTGCTCCTAATATGCGTCCACTGGCTTTGAACTGCGCTGCTTGTACGACTCAAGATTTCCTGAACTGAGGTGAACCAGGCAGGCACAACTGCCAAGTCAAGCTTCAGCAGTCTGCGAACGATCTTGGCATTCATAAGAAAGAGACTCTCGGAGGGTATTGCAATTGAAGCCCTGTCAACTATCGAGGTCATGAAGAAGACCATGAATTGTTTGTACAGATCGTCCAAGCTCCCTTCTGTAGACAGCCTGCGAAACACTAGCTGCAGTGTCACGCGCACCAGGAGCCATAATGCAGATCGGCGCCACGGCGATTGGCAATCACGCCACATTACTTCCTCGCGAGTGTTCTTCTGAATCTGTACAGACGCGATGTCGGTGCATCGAGGACGAAGAGTCGACATGAGAAGCTCTGTCACCATTTTGGGATGCGTGGTGTCCCTGGTCTCATCGTGCTCCTGTCCAGCCTTCTTGACTCTTGGCTTGGTTCCAGCAACGGGCTGGTGACTCATTCTGGAAATCGTTTGCGCCATGAACGCTCGGAATCCGGGTTCCTCGAAAGTTGCCCTATTCATAACCATAGTCGGACCCGGGAAATCACGGCGCAGCCGTCCCACTGTTGTTGTAACGGCTTCATTGCGAGCTGACAACTCAAAAGATTCGATGTGTATCGCATCGTTATGCCAGTATAGGAAGATTCCTGCGTTTTGCTCGCGAACGTGAATTGGGAGGAATCCGCCTACGGCCTGGTTAGAAATGAGCACAATGATTTGCGTGTTGCAATGCTTACCCCGAATAGGTAGCTCTGCCAGACTCATCTCGAGCTGCTTTTCATCAACATCCCCATGAGGGCTGTATGCTTTTCTTAGGCGAGAAACCATCACAGTGGCCTTACGTACGATAGTAGTATCTGCGGTTGGAACGTAATCGCTGAAACTGCGGAGAGCATCAACGACGCTCTCGAGGAGACGATGTTCTTGTTGCACATTGTAATCTTCTGCCTGGGGAACCTCTGGTGGGAGAAATATGTGGCGGAACAGGTACAATGTCTCCTCTAACGTCATTGACTTGGATGCAAGAGAATCTTCCATGACGAAGAGTTTGACAGAGGGACGAATGAAGTGGGAGTTTGATTTGGATTGCAGGGAACCAGTTTTGGGTCCAATTTTTGCTTAGTTGGGTTGCGAGGAGACTTTAGAGAGTGGCTAATGAACTTAGGAACGTCTTTAAATCAACAGGCTGAACCCCTTTATACAAACAGTACAGTATAACCTTAGACTTCCACAGAACAGGGTCTTTGCATGATGCTGTCTAGCACAATCTGCACGAGCAGAAGATTGAAACACATACAATGTGAGGGGCGCTTATCATTCCGTCTCAGCTCTCCTATAGGTGGAATTCATCACTCTGATAGAAGGGGCTAAGCAAACCCCCTATGGAGACTTCCTTGACTCACTGCTATTGTATCGACTATTGTCGATCTATGATAAAAAATGTGATCATCCCCACAGTTTTCATTATGTCTAAATTCAGCTTCAATCCAACGCTCATATGGCATTGGAAGTGTTCCGTAAGGCTTCTACCACAAGTTTCTCAAACTATCATCAGTCCATGAAGGCCCGCTTAAAATAGTGACTCCACGGCCCTTGAATTGAAGAAAAAAGCCTATCATTGTTTCCTGGCTTGATCAAAAAGGAGCGAGACACAGCATGGGCAGGGCACATATTGCCACATAACCCTGGGTTTTCCACCGCAAGATATGACCCAATGAGAGTCCCTTACATGATAAATTTCTTGCATCACGGGCCTCCTGCGTAGTGCATAATGAGCCTCCCGCATTAACAATAAATCAATCTCCACTTTTGAATAATCGAGCAGTCAGCCACATGCGCACCACAAGGTGCGAACTCACCAAGTTGTAGTACAATAGCTGATTGAATGTTTTTCCTAGATATTAGAGGGATTCGAACAGTGGTAAAGTTGATCATGTGGTCGAGTACTAATAATTGCTTCCGTTTCAGAGACTTACGCACGCTTGTTTATGTCGAGACCAGGAGCCATGGAGGTTACACATGCTATACATTAAATTGCTATTATTACATCATGATACCTGATAATTGAATGTCAAATGCATATCAAGAAATCATAAAGAGGCTACCCAAATGAGTCGACAGGAGAAAGAGCAAATCAATAGGGGGCGAAAGCCAAGATGCAGGCTAACAGGTCTCACGCTAGCATAGGAAGATAGGGTTGGAAGTGGAACTATAGATCTGAAGATCAAGCATGGGACAGTTTGGGAAGGAGGACTAGTTACACGGCATATGAATTCGAGAGTTAGCGAGTATAGTATTCAGTAAAGATGAGCATTGCTCATATTCAAAGAGTTTGATCTTTCAAAAGCTCTTGAAACTCCCACAGCGATGATAAATACTGCTCTGTCTACCTCTCCTCCTGCCAAACCCGCAGTCCTGTTCTTTTCTCCAAATAGCCCGGCCATTTCTTCGGAAAATACCGTCTAATCTCCAGTTTTTGTAAATTTGAAAAATTTCCAAGCGTTCGCGCAAAATCAGCATCCACAGCTGGACCCCAGTGGTTGACAGTCGGTTCCGAATCAAGGTATAACACCATTTCTTCGAGACATTTTGCTTCTGTGAACAGTTTTTCGAGAAGCTCGCGCCATCGCGGGCCATTGGGAGGATTGCTTGTTAGGAAATCTGGGTGCGGCCCTTGATTGTATACAGCATGAACAGAGATCCAAAGTCTGCGTAGGTTCCGAACGTTTGACGGCTTAATCATATTAAACCAGTCTATACCAGTGTCGGGGTTGTGAATTTGGAACATGTTTTCGATATAGAATTCCGCTGGATTTTTCGAAAGGGTATTTTGAGGATCGGTAATGTGGATTCCTGATTCAGACATGACGGATACAAGTAATCGAATGAAATGACGTTATGTCTGTGTAATAAGTAACGTGTGGGGAGTTTGGGCTTTTGGAAAAGATTCTCATACTCTCAACCTGACGATTCCAGTTTGAAACAACATGGATACTATGGCTTTTGCTTGTACACTTTGCGTTGCAAGCCATATATGCAGGCTCGTATGCAAGAGGCCCAAATGTTCTCCGTATTTAATTTTCAAGTGTTTTGAAAGGTTTTTTTTTGTAGATGCATGAATCTGCAATAAGGGCTTTCTGACTCATGGCACATGGTCTGGTCTGCCTCCCGCATGCCTCCCGCATGGCCTAGCCTGCCTCCCACATGGTCTATTCTGCCTCCCGCATAGCCTAGTCTGCCTCCCGCATGGTCTATTCTGCCTCCCGCATAGCCGTATGGTCCAGTCCGCCTCCTGCATCATCTGGTCTGCCTCTCGCATGCCTCCCGCCTGGCCTAGTCTGCCTCCCACATGGTCTATTCTGCCTCCCGCATGGTCTATTCTGCCTCCCGCATAGCCGTATGGTCCAGTCCGCCTCCTGCATCATCTGGTCTGCCTCTCGCATGCCTCCCGCCTGATGCTTATCGGCCCTTTCTCTTAGTCCGTCATGGACTTCGACTCGTGCGTTGGCCGAGTAAAAAGTACCCCTCTCAAATCCACTACGTACAGCCTTCCGCGTGCCGCCGCTCTGATCTCAACTTACGCGTGGCTTATGTTATTATCCAAAACTACGGAATAAAAACGACCTTTGTGTCAGCACTCACTTTTCCATTTTCGCGTTTTCATTTTCTTTGGATTTTTTCTTTCGAAGACAGCATATTGCGATAATCCGATCACAATGGATCCTCGCGAAGCCAGATCGACCGGGTATAGCACCTTTTCATCAACACTTGAAATCAAACCCAAAACCGTCGGTCGCCCGAGGTTCGACCCGTATCACAAGGTTCTCAGCAGGTTTTATGAACCACTGGTGCTGTTGCGATTGCTTGGACAGAGCCGTGGGAATCACCAGCCGAAACCGCACGATGTAAATGCAGGCCAAGCTGTGCGTCGGGATTTCTTGCGGAATCTTTCCTACATTTGTGACTTTGAAAAAGGCGGAGATACCTGCACCGCGATTGGACTTGCAGACCTCGGCGCATGCTATCGGTTATATGTCGCTTCAAATAAAGGACAAGCTAAAATAGCTGAGTTTCTTAAGGCTGTTCTTGGGCTACTGCACGATTTAAATGAGGTGCCAGGATCGGAGCTACCTCAAAAGGAAGCAGACTTTATGAAGTTTTGTGTTGATTTTGCGGAAAAGCGCGTCAGAAAGGAAAAGAACTGCTTATTCAGGGCCGTGGATGCTTGTAGCCGAAAGCTTTCACATTCAGCTACAATTGAAGGTGTGCACCGCCAGTAAAGTGTTATAATATTGCCGATGCTAATGCCTTGGTAGCCGAAAGACTACGCAAGTGGTTAAGATCGCTCCGGAGCCATGATGATAATCTCACACTTTGCACGTTTGCATACGAAACCAGGCATTCTCCATTTCTCCCATGGTTGCGGTCTATACGGCAAGAAAACTTGCTCAGCCCAGACATAGAATGCGATCCTTTTGGGCTTGTGAGACATTACATCGGACGGCTAGCACATCATATCCGAGCATCAAAGGAGCTTGTTAAAGCTGTCACTGATATGAGCCAAATACTAGAAAGTTGCGAAGTTTCCGCTGTGGATCACATAGCACCGGTGCCACCTCCCGCACCCGACAGGCATACGAATCTTGACGGAATTCTCAACCGTATGTTAGGGAAGGGACACGACGAGCGACTCGACATTGAACATGGACTGTCAAAAATCAACGCTGTGAATCGACTCTTCGATAGATTTCCGGGCGAATATCGGAACCTAAAGCCACGAATCCATGCAGAGGTCCAAATACTTGAGCATTTTCATCGATATCAAATACAATTCACCGAAAATGATCGCTTTGTCGCTTGCAGTAAGGCAGCCTGTCTATGTTGCGAGATGTATTTCAAACACCACCCAGCACGAATGATTGTCCCTGAATCGCATCGAAATGTGTGGACAAACTGGGGACCGCCTCTGGTAGAGAACTTCTCGAAGACCCACGGGGCAGGAAGGCAGCAGTTACATATACTGAACAAAGTGATTCACGAGATTCGCAATCTTGTCATCAGTCAAGCCCTTGGACAATCCTCGGTTGGCCAGCGACGTCCTGATTCAAAAACAGAAATTACAGATCTCCATTCCCTCGGCTACACCCCAGCACCTATCAACGGTTCGGAAAAGAGTTCAATGGTTATGAGCAAAGATACCCCCATTGAAAAACATAATCAACAATTAAAACATCAAGCCAGAGGTCCATCGATTAGCCCTGGATTATTGACTCATAACAACGAAGAATCGGATGGTGAGGGCGGAGGCGTTTCCATTCAGGCCTGGATGCATTGAGGGCAACTACAACGTCGCTCGTTTAAAGCGGATGGTGTCTTTGGCTTATACTATTTTGACTACATATTCTTGTACTGCTCTCTTTTTTAAGCACGATGAATCTTAAATTGGAAAAACAAAGCTTAAGTGTTATTTATCTCTGCACTACCCCTTGCACGTCCTGTCCCGGTGCCTTCGGAGATTATCGTTGCGTGTACAAGACGAGCCACATTTGTCGCAAGTAAACTTTTCTATGATCTCCAGATGTTCTCTAGCCCATGGCTTATGATGTGTTACGACATGTCGGCGCATATCCGTTTGTTCAGCTGTACGATAATCACAGAAAGCTTGTGGACATTTGACAGGTTTGACGTGTATCCGAGCGTGCTTCCTGGAAAATATTAGATACTGCATTATGTTCGTTATAGACACAAAAGGTACCTTGAAAGATGTTTCTTATCTTCACCTGTTCTCCATTCGCAATTCAAATACCGACAACGATACACTCCATCAGAAAACAATGTCATATGGTCTAGTGAGGGCATCTCTGCTTCTTCAAATTTGACCACATTTCGAGGCGCTGAGGCCAGCGGCTCTGACAGGCTTTCCTCTGGAGCTCTGCCTTGGCTAGAATCCTCAGTCGATGTCATTCTTTCAAAGTTTTCTTGAAAACCCTCTCCTCCATCAGGGAATACATCTGGTTCAAGTCTCTATAGAGATGAATGATCCATGTAGTTCTCTGCAGACTCTGGGGGATTCATGATAGCTGCATCCGTGAAGCCGTAAGTGCCATTCATCGGTTGAAAGACTTCAAATGAGGTGTCTGCAGGGGGTGCGGCACCACCTGTCGCGCTGGGAGCCACGGGGAGACCAATTGTTCCATGTTCGGGAAGGTAAACGGTTTGTTCAGTCAACAGGTCAAGAAAAAAGTTTAGGTCTCCACATTCATCTTCATCGTCCGCATCTTGGCCAGAGAATGCGTTGTCCATGGCTAATGGTAGGGACGCATAAGAAAACAGCGCAACGTAAGATTAGAAGGCTTTATACTGAAGAAAGTCGCGAGTATTGGCTTTCTGGATAATTAATCCCTGCGCCGATTGCTTGCATGACTTCGACAACTCATTTTTCTTTTTTGGAGTAGCCCGTACGAGCCGTAAAAATCAACTGGTCAACTGCCTAGGGCCCATATTACTCTTCGAGAGTAACCAATGGATGTGATCCACATGTTTGCCATTCTTTCGCCGCTCTTTCTCATGCATCTTTTCAGTCTCGAGCATCAAGATAAGCCTCCACTCTGTGGAATCCTGTTGATTGGTTGGATAATTGGAGCTACGAATACATGGCGCCTATTGCAAATTGACTCGAGTGAATTATGTTCCTCTCGCTATTTGTCGAAGCCTTTGGGGCACACAATGAATTGTTGGACTGACAAAGTACGTGAGACGTATTGATTTTCTGAATATCCCGGTGGGAAAAATATTCATAGTAGCCGCTATGTAGATCCCTCTTTTTTATCTGTGACTTTGAGAAAGGAGGCGATACTTCCACCGCTATCGGGCTCGAAGAGACTGGGACTTGGTCCAGATTCTGGGTTGCTTCAAACAAAACAACAGCTTAGATTGCCGATTTCTTGCAGCATATTCTAGAAAGGCTTCATAGTATCTATCATTTCGCAGGAAAGAATTTGACTCCAAAGAAGAATTCTTTTGTGAAATTGTGTGTTGAATTTGCAACGAAACGCATTTCCTAGGAAAAGAAGTGCTTATCGACAGCCGTTAAGACTTGTCTTAAAATTATTTTACATTCGAGTTCATACGAAGGTATTTACGCTCACTATTTATTCCTTGCTTGCCGTACAGTTTCTCATCCTACGTAGACAAAGGACTCAGCGAGTGGTTAAAGTCGCTTTTAAGCCATGATGAAAATCTCACACTTTGTTTGTTTACCTACGAAAGCCAGCATTCGGAGTTTGTTTCCCGGCTGCAAGTCTTTTCCGCAGAACAAGAAAGCATGTCAGGCATAGAAAGAGGACCTGGAACTTTTGCGTCTGTGAGGCATTTCCTTGGTCGACTAGCTCACCACATTAGGGCGTCTGAAGAGCTAGTCGAAGCCGCCATAGACGTGAGCCACATGGTCCAAACCTTCGATGTTCGCGTCGTCAACTACACAACACCGGTACCTGCTCCAGAACCTGACGGACACACCAACCTTCATGATATTCTTAATCGCATGTTACCAAAAGCTTCGAATGAAAGTCTCATCATCGAACGCGGACTTTCCGATTTCAACGCTGTGAAAGGGATTTTCTGAAATTTTCCGAAGAAATATCAGCGTATAAGTCCGCAGGTCCATGCGGAGGTTCAGACCCTCGAGTACTTGTACTGAAACCGTATGACGTTTGCAGAAAATGACCGCTATGTTGCTTGCAGCAAGCCAGCCTGTTTGTGTTGTGAAATGTATTTTCAGTACCAACCTGCTCGAATGGATGTTCCCGAGTCACATCAGAATGTGTGGACAAATTGGGGGCCACCTCTGGTACAGAACTTCTCAAAATCTCATCCAGCAGGCAGGCTGCAACTAGATCTACTAAATAAAATGATCCAAGAAGTTTGTTCACTTGTCATCAATCAAGTACTTGGACAATTTGCGCTTGATCATGGATATCCTGACTCTGTGACAGGAATTACGGAGATACATTTATTCCGCAATAACTCAGCTTCCGTCATTGTCAGACACCAAAATCCACTTGTTGCATGCCATCCCGTCTCCCGCGATGATATGATCGGCAAGTTCACAAACGCTTCGGCAGAAGGATAGATTGAAATTGAGACCTTGAGAAATGCCGGCGAAGAATGCGACTTAGAGAGTGGAGGGGCTTAGAGAGTGGAGGGGTTGTACTATATGCTTGAAAATTTTGCGAACTACCGATACTGGTAATGTTGATGAAATCACCAATGCTACAAGACTTCTTGAAGTTTTAGAGGACTGAGACTTAAGTACTCATGGTACGTCAGAGCGTGGACAAGTTAGATAAGAGAGTCTATTCGTCACTGCTATCCTGCATATGTTCCATCTTCCTTGCATGTTTTGTAAGATTGTCTTTCCGCGTGAAGGAAGAGTCACATTGGGTACAAGGAAATCGTGCAATCTCTCCCAAATGTTTTTTGGCCCATGGCCGATGGTGGGCTACGACATGCCGACGCATATCCGTTTGTTCTGCTGCGCGATGTGAACAAACCTTACTTGGACATTTCACAGGTTTGACATGTCGCCGAATGTGTCTTCTGTCCGAAATTAGCTAACGCACCAAAGTCATTCTAGACTATTTTCAATACCTCAAACCATGTTTTTGATCCCACACCTTCGTTGATTTGCAATCCTGATATATACAACGATACAACCCGTCTGAAGTATCCGTGATATGGTCTAGTGAAGGCATTTCTGCTTCTTCAAACTTGTCCATACATTGAGATGCTGCAGCCAACGATGCTGAGCCACCTTCTTCTTGTGGTTCTTCCGGATTTCCAGTCTCAGTAGATGCCAGACTCTGCGTATGACCTTGGAATAGATTGATTCCACTAGGAAGCAAGTCCGATGCAGCACTCTACAGAGGCCAATCTTCGGTATGGTTCTCAGTGGGAAGCAAGTGATCCAGAAAAGCAGTATCCATCAAGTCGAAGTTATCGTTTCCCCGTTGATAGGCATATAATGTTGTGTTGGAAGGAAGTGCGGCACCTCCCTCTGCGTCGAAGCTCATTGGAAGATCAGTTGTTTCAGATTGGTCAAAATGACGGGTTTGATCGGTCCGAAAGTCGAGAGCAAAATTCGAAATCCACCCCTCGTCATCTTCATCCTGGCCAGGAAGACTGACTTCCATATTCATTGATAGAATCGCGGATGGAGACTGCAGAGTAAGGTACGGTAGGACTGTCAGATTTATAAGGGACACGAGGACGCTTTGCTTGGCAAGTCATGCCAGCATGGATCGCTTTCGTGACCTAGGGGATGACCAAATTCAAAAATTCGGGCAACGGCTTCAGGCAATCACTTCAGGCGCTCGATATCAATATACGCTAATACCTTGCATAGGCATGTGTGCTCGCTCATCATCATTCACCGCCACTTGTCTGACGACGATATAACTAAATAAGAACTGAAAGAACTAAAATACTTAGTAGTTAGGCTAGTCCACATATCCACAACTTCACCGCTGGTTGTGTGGGCCGTTTGCTTATACTCGACCATTGGGGCAAGTATGCGTTCTGTGGCAACATGTTGAGAGATCATCTGTAACTACCAATGCATGGCGCCTTTTTCCAGCTGACAACTGCACAATGCATTCCTCTGGCTAATAAGATGCGAAGCCTTTATAGAATGTGTTGGCATTCTAAAAGGTTACTGCTACATACTCGTATTGAACTAGAATATTGGTTGGTGCAAAGTGAATTATAGCAGCCACTGATGTAACCCTTTCACCGTCTAGTCGACCTGTACCGGCAGAGCCCGGACTGTTACGCTCCGACGCATATCTCAGATACCGTTTTACAGCAAAATCTATCGCTTTTCCTTGGGTTTAAAGGCCTTCGCAACCACGCCTAGCTCTGATTCCCAGGTCGATACTCACGCGACTTGATTGCCTACTTAGATTCATCGCTATGATGACTGCCCAAGGTCCAAGTAATCAAGATGCTCCAATCAGTGAGTGTTATATTCTTCTCACTTTGTGAATGGAATTTCCGCTAATATGAGCCGTAGACGAGCTCGTGGGAAAAATGATGTTCCGCGAATACGTCACGGCGGCTCTAGCCAGATCAAACAAATCCTTTCAATTACTCGTTAGTTTCTTAGTCTTCGGCTCAACTGAAACGTCTGTGCTGAGGCTGACTGATTAGGAGACCGAAGTCATTCAATTTATTATGTCTTATGATTATCTTGCAGCAATGCAGACTCTAGAAGCGGCGCGCATCGCTCCCTTTCACAATCAAGAGACAGACCCGCAAAGCGCCGTCTTCTGAGTACTTGGCTTTGCTTATCGCTCTCTACAGCACTCACAGGCGTATGCGCTGATGTACAGCCTACTTCAACTTAGCCACATAGGATGCCACATGGAACCTCATATCAGTACGTTGGCTTCATTCATCACCGGAACCCCACAGTTGCTGCCACCTCGGAGAACCCAGACTATCGAGGTAAACACGCAATCCAACTCCCACGGAGAAGAGGATCTATCAAAGTATACCTCTGCGTTGAATGAAAAAGGACAAGAAGATGGGAAGGCACTCAAACGTATATATTCAACACTCAGAATGGATCCTCCTCAGTTCAGTGCGGAAATTCGTTTTGGGGATTTGTATTCATTTGGGGTCGGACGAAATAAGAAGATTGCTGGCCATTTGGCTGCAAAGGATCTCTGCCGTCGAATAGGAATTTCAGTTGGAAGGTGACGGTAAAACGATCTAAAACCTTTCTTTCGGTTCAAATTGCACCATATCTTCCTACGCCTTCAAGCAAATCGCAAGTCCCTTCAGGACTTCTAGGCATGATTGTTGCAAGCATTACTGCCTGAAACTTCAAATCAAGGACTTCACTAGCTATGCCAAAGCTATCCTAGCGCCTAGATAATCATATGTATTGTTCGATAATCTTTGCTCGCGACGTTGAATGTTTTTTCTCCTTTTTCCTTTCTCTTTTTTTTTTTTTCAATACGAACGTTATTTACTGTTGAGAGGCTTCTGGCCCTAGTTTAGGAGGTGTTTCTTTTTCGTGCTTCCTCGTAGTAACAAGAGCCTCATAGGAGCCTGTAGCATTAACGTATCATGAAGGACACACGGCCACCTACAAATGACTATAAGATCCTGTTATGCGCAAGAGCTATAGCTGTCTACTTTAAGAAGGGCAAGCAGCGGAAGTGCTGTGAGGTTCTTCTCGGGTTCAAACCGCTTCATAGAACACACTCTTATGCGAACCTTAATTCCACTCTCCTTCATATTTTTCAACAAAATAAGATTGGAAAGTTCTTTATTATCATGACTGACAATGCACCAAATAACCCAACATTAGCTGATACATCATAGCAAGCAACGTCAGAACATGCCACTCTTATTAAGGTCCCAAGTCTTTCACATGCGCTTCGGCTAAGGTTTAACAAGCTTCTTAGGAATACTTCCCACGGAATGAATCAACAAAGACATGATGGCCAGCGCAGGGACCCAGCAGCGCTTGCATATGTAACAAAGCATGACATTGCTAATATGTTGAAGGTATATACTTCTTCAATCATCGATTGTAATACAATAATTACATATCAGCCTCTAAATTCGTAGTCTTGCTATGTTTGAGAATACATTCTACAATCTACAATGTGAACCAACGAAGCTTATGCCTCTTCGGATCGTCAAGATGAGTGAAATTTTACCTTCATAAAGCTGCGGCATTCAAAACGCCCTCGATCGTTCTTCCAGCCATTCTGTGAGGAGTATGAGCGGGGTGATATAGAATCTGGTGGATGAAGACGGAGAATGGAGCCGGTTTGGCTATCTCGGCAAACCTCCAGCGCAAGACCGCTTTCTTTTCACTTCCGTTTCAAGGATTCGGGTATATCGAACTCAAAAATGCCCACTATTAGTGGAGATATCATATCAGCTTTTGCGACTCGACACAGAGACGCCGGTGGAGAGATCACCTGTTCTTAAACCACAGATTTCGAAGGCACAACTAGATATGAGCGTCTCGAAGCTTTGAGCTTAGCGTGCAACTACACGGCCTGCCTCTCGGGCACTCCTTTCCAACGACTCAGCGGCATGCAATGACAATTGATTCAAGGGGTGCAATATCTTACCTGTGGCGTGGACCTGGATGGGTAAAAACAAAGTTCGCATTTCTAGACAATAGCCGACTCTAAATTGAGAATTGTTCCGGAAGCTTTCAGTATACCTATTTTCTCGGGACTTTTATGCCCACCCCACAATCTTCCTGACCAAAGAAAAAGGGTTTTCAGATGATCTTATGGTCGAAAAGCTGAAACCAAGCTTAATCGGAATTGCGGCATTGTTTAGGTTAGATAGCAATTGTAGTATTACTGGGCTCGCTGTGAACTAGTAAAACTGGCTGAAATGATTGCTTGTGGTATTCGAGCTGTATGGACGGAAAGACGCTGCCGACCATGAAGTTGCCCTAGCGTTACGACGATCACGCTTAGGTTCTTGATATAGGACGAGGCGAGTCTATAGGCTCTCGTTGATTGTAAGAAATACCTGATAGCAAGTTCTCTTTTCCCTGTGTGCTCATCGCCCAAGAGTTTGCTGTGTGGAATTTCAGCCAGTTGTATAACTACAGATTTTACCGAGCCCAGCATCCAAAGTAATGTTACCATGTATGATACATGCAATGTCTTCATGAACGAGTCATACCTCATTTCCTCGAGAAAACGTAATTATATGTGCCCTATTCGTGAAGACTAGTGCTGTTGATAAAGCCTGACTGAATGAAAATCTCTACCTACATCGGCGTCAAGGTTGAAAATAATAAGCTCATTCTGAATGCGGCGAATCCATATTCATAGCATAATCCTTTTAATGAAAACGGCTTTCAAAATGAATATCCGTGGTTCACATTCATATCCTTCTGACTTTGTCATGCGAATGCAAATGCGAATAAAAAAAGCTCAACATTCGCGAATGTTCCCTACCTTGCCGGCTTCTTTCATCGTGGGCCTCCCGCATTTTCTTCTGGGGTTGATAAAATAGCGCACTATTATTCACTGGCTAAATATTCATTTTCTATGGTGTATGCATGGAAGTTGCTTGGGCATATGAGGAACTTGAAGCCTTATCTTGTATGAATGCTCTCTCTGTAAGGAGAACAAAACTTGTAAACATCGACAAAGCCCAGTCTGTGCTCAGGCAGACTCTGATTGACTATAAAACGAAAAACAAGCTCATTGAACTCGAAAGAAGCAAAAGTTGAACAATATCTTTTTTCTATCCTAGCTACGAGAACACTTACACCTTAAGCTGGGGGGGGGGGGGGGGGGTCCGGATCCGTGTGAATAGATAGATACTTTTAAAATCTTAAGACAATCCCATGTGTCGTCCCGTGCGCCACGCAGGAAACCGGTCAGACCAAAGTGGAGTGGAGCCTGATGTATGGAGGTCAAATACTCATGTTGCACCACTGTAGCTAGGCATCAGTTGCCCCATGCCAATACTTGTTCTAGTTGGGGCGTGTTGGTAGCTGCAGGGGCTGCACATAGCCGCAGCTACCCAATGGCGAAAACATCTCAAGATCCTTGTCGGGTTGATTGGCCCTGGGTGTGGCCACGATTGAAATGCCTCGTGCAGGCGCGTAGGCTGATTCATCGCCTGGACCTGTTGAATGTGGCTTTGCGGCGCGACACACCGCTACACGGAGCTGTCAGGCATTTATAGGCCATTCATAGGCGCGAGTCGAGCATGAAAAAAAGGGTCTCACTAGAACGTGCATGAATGCCTCACAATTATCTCCTTATGCGCAGCTAACCAAACTGAAGTAATGTACATTTCAGCGTCAACACGCATGCTGGGGCTCGTAACATGAGCACCGTTTTTTTCGCACAATAGCGCTCTTGTACTAGATTGCGCTAATTCATGCCTACGTCTCTCTTCTCCAAGAGTATACCTGCTTGGCGTATCCTAGATTATTTCATAGAGACCTTCCCTTCTCCAAACAATCACTGGAAACCTACATCTTTCTCAACGAAACCCACCCATCCGTGTAGCCTTCTGAGCTAGAAATACTTATAGTGCTTTAAAGATCGCCAGAGCTAGACCTTCTACAGTTCAGCCTCCTTTCACGATGGATCACCGCGGAAATTGGCGATCTCAGGGCAATACGAGCAACCGAGGAGGATCCAACAGCTTCAGAAAGCGCAATCAGCCGGAAACACGCTGTATGCATTTCCAGCGTGGCAGATGCCACTACGGTGAGAGGTGCAGATTCTCGCACGATGTGACTGGGGCTGCCGACTTCAAGTCAAATCCAGCCCTGCCCTATACCATCCCACAGCCGATGATCTGGACGTTCGGAATCAATACTTCGACTGGAAGAGGCTTCTTAGAAATGGGATCTTGGGGTCTGGATATTCGCGAAGGGAACATGAGGAGATCGTTCAATTCTGGAACGGGGCTCTCGAAATTCTTGAAAGCGACAGCAGAGAGAATCACCAATTTCTCGCCAAAGATCTTGTGGATGACAATCTTCATGGATATGCATTTATCCTGGCAACTGCGGATGCAGACCACCCAGAGGGAATGAGACCTATTCCAGCTTACGACGAGCCATTTCTCAAAGTCATTACCCATACTTCTCTCTTGAACTGTCTTTCTGTCGATTCATTTGTTAGCACTCTGTACACATCCTTCAGTGGCACGAATGGAGATCGAGCAATCAGATATCTGAAAAGTATATGCGCGAACCTGATGGGTAAAGGTAAAGACACCAACGAAAATGCACCGGTCATCTCTTTGGATATGGTGAAGTTGCTGTTGAATACCCTTTACCAGCTTTTATCAAGGGTCCGACGCGCTCGACTTCACGATGAACTTCCCGCACTGCTCGACCTAATCCGCGAACTGGGCTCCAAGATGACTGAAACATGCTCGCAAGCCGACCTTGACGGACTTGAAACCAGAATAGAAGTCATGCAGAGCCTAATCACTAGCGCAAATCGCAATCTTGTTACACCCAAAGCGCATCAGGAAAATCCCCAGAAGACTGGGTTAGTCCTGTCGTCCTTTCCAATGGATATGCAAATACCCGGAGGAAGACACGACAACGACCTTGCAGAAATCTCTCAAGTTCAGATTCTTCCTACCCATGGAGAGATTGTCAGCGGCAATTCAGAATATCTACCATCTACCAACTTCCTTCAGCCGCACTTTCTCGCCGACCCTTTGCAAAGATACATTGACTCAACATTCCGGCTCCTGCGCCATGATATCTTCGGCTCAGCCAAAGATGTTCTTCGAGATTTGCTGCAGCAGAAGGATTTGACACGAGTTCCTTATCTCTCAGGCAAGGATAGCGGGGCACATCTCTATCTGGGAGCACAGGTCCAGCAAATGTTTATCAATGAGCGAAAAGAGCTCCAAGCGACCGTATCGTTTTCTACTCCACCACCACTCCGCAAAAAGACCTCCAATGAGCAATGCAGGTGGTGGCAAGCCTCCAGTCGACTAGAGGAAGGAAGCCTAGTGTGCTTCTTGACGTCTCAAGGAACTCTCAGAAGGCTTATTTTCCTCGAGGTCACTGTGAAGAATGCTTCCAAGGACCGAGCGCACCAGAACAAGAGTAGTCTTGCTTCTGATAGGTTTCCACCTAGTATTACGGTCAAGCTTGCGGCATGCCTACAACAAGAACTGATTTTCCTGGGCCAGCTTTACAGCGAGAAGCTCACCGGTATTCTGGTCGACTTCCACGGTTTGATCCCTGCCACGTTCGTCCCTATCCTGAAAAACCTTCAGCGAATCCAACGCGAAGGGGAGTTGGCATTTCAAAAATGGGTCTTGCCAGGCCGTAAGGATGATGAAGACGGTCACAGCATACCCCCACCGACATACGCACGCAAACCAGGATTTATCTTTCCCCTGACTTCGATCACAAACGTCGGAGCTGCTAATGTTGCATTGGACCTGAGTACCCCTGAGTCTATTGACATCTTGAAGCTGCAAAGTCGAACTGGTCTCGACCACGGCCAGTGTCACGGACTTATCGCTGCTCTCGCTCGAGAATATGCCCTCATCCAAGGCCCGCCGGGCACCGAAAAGTCCTATTTGGGTGTTAAGCTTGTTCAAGCTCTCCTTGAAATCAAGGAAAAGGCAAAGCTAGGCCCGATTATTGTGATGTGAGCACTGATCTCATGGTCTTTTGTATTTTTACTTACGGAAATTACAGTTGCTATACCAACCATGCCTTGGACCAATTCTTAAAGCATCTTCTTAATGTTGGTATCCAGAAAATCATACGCATTGGCGGCCGCAGTCAGGCCACTGAGCTTGAAGGCAAGAACCTTCGCGTTGTCAGCAAAGACATTGGGAAGATGAGAGTAGAGTCGCAAACCCTCGGCATGTCCTACGGGGGACTTGAGGATTGTATGAAAAATGCTGGATATGCAATGAAGCCCCTACACCAGTCTCAAAAAGGCCTGTCTTGGACCGCGATGGAGCATTTTTGCGCCGCAAATGGCCCATTATACATGAACAGCTGGAGCGACCAGACCTGGACGGATTCACCACTGTCACTGATGACAAATTACTCAATTGGATTGGAGTCAAATCGATGATAACCCAGAAAGACCAGAACGAGGGTGAAGTTGACGATGTCCGCTTGGAAGGACTCACACGCGCGGCCAAGGAAAATATCCACAGTCTCTCGATGCCGGAACGCCGGATCCTTGCAATGAGCTGGTTTAAACAGTGGCAGGAAATCGAAACAGCCTCCCTTTTCGAGGCTCTTGATCGCGCTGAAAATCTTCGCGAGGAAATTAATGCAGTCCATGAAGAGGTCAACCGCCGAGCCCTGATTCAAGCAGATGTGGTAGGAATCACGACAACAGCCCTTGCACGCCATATCGAGACACTGCGCCGCATAGGAGCAAAGGTCATTATATGCGAGGAAGCAGCTGAGGTGATGGAAGCCCACGTCATGTCAGCCCTCATGCCAGGTGTTGAGCACTTCATTCAGATTGGGGATCACCGACAGCTGCGGCCACAGATTCAAAATCATTCTCTCAGTCTTGAAACATCCACAGGGACATCATGGCAGCTAGACAGAAGCCAGTTTGAGAGATGCGCTGTCGGTGAGCCAGGTCTTAAGCCTGCCCCTGTCGCACAGCTCAATGTACAGCGAAGAATGAGACCTGAGATCTCGTAACTTATCAAGAGTGTCTATCCAAAACTCGAGGATCATGAAAGCGTGACGACTCTACCCAATGTTGCTGGAATGCGGAACAACCTATTTTGGCTGGACCATAAATGCGATGAAAACTCGGAAGATGACGGCAGCCGTGTAAAGTCTCATAGCAACCAGTGGGAGGTCGATATGGCTACTGCACTTGTTCGGCATCTTGTTCGGCAGGGAGAGTACAAGAGCGCGGATATTGCCCTCTTGACCCCCTATACCGGGCAGCTGCGGAAGCTCAGGACATCGCTCAGCAATGAGTTCGAGATTTGTCTCAGTGAGCGAGACTTGGAAACATTGGCCGCAGATGGGTTCGAGAAGGTTGAAGATGAAAATCCCGAGTCAAATGGTGACAAGGCAATCGAGAAGAAAACGTTGCTCCAGACGCTCCGCCTCGCTACTGTCGATAACTTCCAAGGCGAGGAGGCAAAGGTGATCATTGTCTCCCTAGTTCGCAGCAACTCAAAGCGCAAGGTTGGCTTCCTACGCACCGAAAACCGCATCAACGTGCTCCTCAGTCGAGCTCAGCACGGCATGTATCTCATTGGAAATGCCGAAACATACCTCAATGTCCCAATGTGGGCCGATGTCCACTCTCAGCTCTCCCGTGCGAATGCAGTCGGCACGGAGTTGGCTCTCTGTTGTCCTCGCCACTCAGACACGTCTATTCTCTGTTCCGAACCTCACGACTTTGATAGGAAGAGTCCTGAAGGTGGGTGCAGTCTCCTGTGTAGCCGTCGACTCGAGCCATGTGGCCATCAATGCCAGGCCAAGTGCCATTCGGCGGTCATGCACGACGGCTTTGCATGTGGAAAACCTTGCCCACGTATCCGATCAACCTGTGAGCACGAATGTCCCAAGCTTTGTGGTGAAGATTGTGGCCATTGCATAAAGAAAATTCAAGACGTGGAGCTTCCTTATGGTCATATCAAGAAGACAATATTTTGCCACCAGATACTTAACTTGAAAGTTCTTAAGTGCGACGTCGAGGTTGAAAAGACTGTTCCTAAGTGTGGTCATACGATCCGGGTTGGCTGTTTCAAGGATGTCACGTCCCCAATCTTCAATTGCCCTGAGCCATGCACAGACATTCTCAGCTGTGGACACAATTGTAGTGATTGCTGCGGAAACTGTCTCGAGGAAGTCCATGACGGAAGAAGAATATTGAAGCACTCGAAGTGCACGAAAAAGTGCGACCGTCCACACGGTGCTTGCAACCATCGGTGTCCCAGGACATGTCATAATGGGGAGAGCTGCGGTTACTGCGAGGCAAATTGCGAGGTAAGTCTCACTAGAATCATCATCTTGTCATCGTATCGGAAGTACTAATCATATATACAGGTTCGATGCTCACACTCAGCATGCGACTTAACCTGTGGAAAGGCATGTGCACCATGCATCGAGAGATGCACCTGGTCCTGCACTCACCAAGGCTCCTGCTCAATGCCTTGCGCGGCACCATGCAATCGACTTCCTTGCGATGAGCGATGCACCAAGGTTCTCAAATGTGGTCATCAGTGCCCGAGCCTCTGCGGGGAAGATTGTCCAAACAATCTGTGTCAAGAGTGCGGCGACAAGGAAGATTCCCGTGTTGACTTCCTCGAATGGAAAACCTATTCCCAAATCAATCTCGATGAAACTCCAATAATCGTGCTTGGATGCGGCCATTCCTTTACGAGTGAATCGGTTGATGGATTGGTTGGCTTAAATGAAGTATACACGAGAGATAAAGATGGAAAATTCGACGGCCTCCAAGATGTCTCTTCTCTTGCCAGTGCCATACCCTCGTGCCCGGACTTTAAGCAGCCCATTCGCCAGTTTGTGACGAAACGTTACAATCGCGCTATCAACCGTGCTGTTATGGATGAGACTTGTAAGCGGTTCCTTACCAAGGGCCGCACCGACCTTGAAGGCCTTGAATCCCGTCTGAATGACATTGAAGACAAGCTCAACTCTGAAAAAGCGTTATTGTTCGCAGGGAACGCTAAATTACAGCTCAAAGCACGATATGCGGCCTGTGCGCGCCTTGGGACGGAGGCTTCGACTCTCAGCAAAACCATGGAGGCCGAGAATCAGCCGATGGAACGGCTCATGGATGCAATTGCCATCTACCAGAAGTTATCAAGGAACGAAATAGCCTCCCTCTCATTCCGAATGGAGGCGATGAATATAGCAACACGAGAGCCCGACAATCAAATCACCCTGGGCGCACGGTTAATATACATCAGGGCCCGGGCAGTCGTGTTTAGCAATATCTTTAGAGTGATAGATTCAAGCGGAAAATCTGCAACACCACCAGGGCTAAGATTCACCAAGCCATCATCAACCTTGACTCAAGTGTTAAAAGATTGTCGAGACTTGATAACTAAAGCCAATGAAAGAAATCTCTCCCGCATCGCCATCACGGCAACCATCTCATTCGCCAAGATCGCCCAGCTGGACGCGTGGTATCACCGCACTCATCCAGGAGAAACAACAATTGATTTTCTTCTCAAAGAAAAATACACGGGTCTAGAGAAGCTCGAAGATCGCACAAAAATTACCCGCGATATCCTTGCCGTTGCTTTGAAACTATGCGACGAACTAGGAAACTGCCCCGAACTTGAAGAAAAGGTCCAGGAGATGATCCACCTCTACGAGGGGAAACGGTACGAGACAGTAACTTTAGAAGAACTTGAATCAATCAAGACGGCCATGGTCAGCGGGCGAGGAGGAATCGCGACTCACTCTGGGCACTGGTACAATTGCGTCAATGGACACCCGGTGAGTAAATTTTCCATTCGTCGAACTATCCTAAATTACCTTGACGAGGCAAATAAGCTAAGTAATCCTTTTGTAGTTTGCTATTGGAGAGTGCGGTATGCCGATGGAGCAAGCTAGATGTCCTGAATGCGGAGCACCTATTGGAGGTCAAAATCACACAGCTGTTGAGGGCGTATCTCGAGCGCGGGAGATGGAGTAGATAGGAACCATATTGTTTTCCGTTTTTTCTGTTTTTTCTGTTTTTTCTGTTCTGGAGTAGTGCACACGATTCTACGTTTAAATGTTGTACGACAGACTTTTTTAAGCGTCCGTACCTTAGCCTACCCTAAATAACGGTGGTAGATTAGTTAAGAAAGGATATATTACTAGATCAAATCTGAAGATCAGTAAGGATTCAATTTGTATGTTGTTGTCTGTTATTTTTAACCTTTATCATCCATTTTGTGGGCAATCCTGGGTTGTTCCACAACCGGTGACAGGTAAACGGTGGCGTGTTATAACATGCGGTGGTTCCATTCACAGCATAATAGGTCTGGCAGAAGTTGCTACAGGAGGAACCGTCTTAACACAGTTGGTCTTTCTTGGAGTACCAGGAGGTGAAGTTATCAGTTACGGATATATCCAACTACTCCTACTGCATCAATGTACGGTTGAGTCGAAAACTGCGGTAAACCATTGCATTGGAGATATTATGTACAAGGACAGAGTCGGTGAACTCCGTAACACCAAAATTTCCAACACAGTCAAGGTTTCCCAGGTGGTGAGCCGAAGCGGAGCAGAAATCATCTAAAGCTCGTCAGCGAAGGGGCTGACCGCTTTATATCGGGACAGTAACGACGTGTGAGGACAATGACCGGTCGGTTTGAACAGGGGACCTCAACTTCAGTGAGGGCTTTCTGAGTCTTGGGTAATGATTTGGCGCATGATCCAGTCTGCCTCCCGCATGGTTTAGTTTGCCTCCGCGTGATGTTTATTGCCCCTTTTAGAGTTTACATCTTGGACTTTGAGTCATGCGTTGGCCGAGTAAAAATACCCCTCCCATGTCAAGATTCAAATCTGCATCTGTGGAGTCGTAAGTGCTATTCTTCGGTGGAAAGGCTTCGAATGAGATTCCTGCAGGGGTGCGGCACCACCTGTCGAGCTGGGAACCATAAGGAGATCAATTGTTTCAAATTCGGAAAGGTGAAAGATTGGTTCAGTTAACAGGTCAAGAACAGTATTTGGGCTTCCATCGTCCTCATATTGGCCAGAGAATGTGGTTTCCATGGCTAATTATAGGAACAGATAAGATGACAACGCATCATGAGGTTAGACGGCTTTATACTGAAGGAAGACACGTGTACTGGCTTCTTGGCTGATTCATTCCTGCACAGATTGTTTGCATGACTTCGACAACTCATTCTTCTTTTTGGGGAAGCACACACGAGCCTTGAAACATCTGCCGGTCAACTGCCTAGAGCCCAACGTGACTCTTCGAGAGTGACCACATGAGTTAGTCCACATGTTTCGCCGCTCTTTCACCGCTCATTCTCTTGCATCCTTTTCGGTCTTGAGCATCAAGATAAGATTTCGCTCTGTGGGATCAGGTTGATTGGTTGGATAATTGGAGCTAGGAATGCATGGCGCCTATTGCAAATTGTCTTGCGTTAATCATGTTCATTTCGCTATTCGTCGGAGCCTTTAGGTCAGACAGTGAACTTTGGAGCAGGCACTGTACGTGATACGTATCGATGTCTGAGTATGTTGGTGCGAAAAACATTCATTGTACTCGCTATATAGGTCATTGCTTTGCTTTCTTTCCTTTTCTTATTTTTTATTTAAAGAAAACGCTCAGAGCTTGAGCCAACGCATACTTCACGGGTGAGTCCGTCCGACGCTCTGGGGGTACAAACAATTGTCACTTCGTTCTTGACCCTTTCACTGAAGTGCCGAAACCACGTTTGACTAGCTGTATTTCTCTAGGCCCAAAACTATTTTGGTTGCTTGCTGACTTAGAGCATATCACTATGGCTACCTGCCAATCGTCAACTTATGGTTATGCTCAGAGCTGTGAGTCTTCTGCTACGCTTATATTTCGATATATATGGCTCTCTAATACAGTCTCAGACCAGCTCGTGAGAGAAGCGATGTTCCGCGCAAATATCACACTAGCCCTAGCTCGATCCAGCGAACCCCACAATTTACTGGTTAGTTTCCCTGTCCTTCACTCTGGAAGTAAGTTCTCTGGGCTGCTTACCGAGTAAGGGCCTGATATAATCAGGACAATGGCCTGAAGCTGGCTGTATTTCAAACCATCGGCTTTGCTTATCACTCACTACTAGCTCCAGAGGCGTATACTCTACTATGCAGTCTACTTCAATGTGGTCATACTGGGCACACCACAGAGCCTCGGGCAGATACTTTGCGTCCATTTACCGAGCAATCACCGCAGCAGTCCCGATGGAGCAATCCGACAAGCGAAGCAACCCTACGGTCTGGAACACACAAAAATAACTTAGCCAAATACACCTCCGCTTTGTTTGCAAAAGGACAGGCAGAAGGCAAGAAAGTTGAACGTCTGGTTTCAGAGCTCGATTCAGGACACCTGCAGTTTAAAGTAACCATACGTTTTAGAACATTGCATGCATCAGGAATTGGGCGACAAAAAAGGATTGCTGGACATTTGGCTGCAGAAAAGCTTTGCCGTCATCTAGGCATCATAGCTTAAAGATAATTACGAGATCATTTCTGAATCTTTCTTATTGTAAACCATGAATAGTTTCATCGCTATTAGCTAAGGGTATTTAAATTGCAGTTATTGTTCCCCGCAGGCAGCGAGTTCTTGCAACAATTGAACAAGGTGACTTAACGGGTTATTCGTCGGTGGCCTAACGCGGCCAAGAGAAACAAAGAGAGTGTGACTTGGCTGTAGCGGGTCATCTGTCGCTGCGGTTTTGAACTGTAGCGTCAGATAGGGCCCGTCTGCGACGAGTTGTCTGTATCCCAGTTATTTTTATATATGGAGGGAAAGCAAAATCGAGTCTTGCCTGCTTGAAGGAAGACGAACGAGCAGCATGAAGCAAGCAACTGACACCGACTCTCGCGAGGTGGGTATAGAAGGCAAGAAATGTCTCAGTAATGTCGGTGTATATATCAAGTGAGTCACCCCCAGTAAAACTACTCGTTTTGAGTTATAAAGAAGGCTCATTGCATTTAGAAGAAGCTAGTAGTTGTTTTTTACAACCTAAGATAGATCATGCGGGTTTTAAATCATTCAGGGGTTCGGCAGGCTTTTTGGCCGAGGTCTCGGCTGACCGGGTCGTTGATTCCCAAAAAATCCTTATGTGTGCATTTAGAGTTCCTCCCCCCCCCCAAACTTCCGTCGGGGCCGGTATAGGACTATGGGGGACTGTGTGCGGTCCGACCCGCCATTAAAAAGGCCAAAGACCGCATATTCCGGTCTCAGTCTTGAAGTCGGGACTGAAACTCCATTCTTGGCCTAATTCATTTTGAAAAGTTTGGCCTGTGCCATACATAGAGCATAGAGAGCTTGAATAGCCATTCCAAGACAGCGCTAGGCATGAGGCTGTAGTCTACTTGCCGTAGAGTTATCCTGGCGGTTTGTCCCAGATCAATGTATGCTAATGTACTGTAGTGCGCGATTTTGGTCGCATAACACAATATCTTCTAACATTGATTTGATCGCATGAAGGCTCTCTATCTCACATTATGACCAACCCACGTCCACTTCTTCAAATTCTCCATCTTGACATGATTGATCTCATAAATTCGGACCCAAGGTCGGTACTTTGGAACAATAGGAGCTTGTGGCTTCCATTTCCCACATATTGAGACTATGTTTACGTCGAAACAATGTTCGTAGGCCTGATTGAGGCTCTGTGACCACTCGCCCTATTGCTGCGTTAGAATAGAATCATCAAGAAGCTCTAGCAAGGTACTGGGGTTATATACCTGGGGACAGGTGAGCTTTGAAAATAGTTTCAAGAACTTCTTGGCATCTTCCCAGTCGCGTAGTCTAGATCCACCCCCCATTAGGTATTGATCTAGACGATAGCCATGCTCTCCCCATGCTTGAAACACGCGAAATCCTTCTCGGCCAATGGCTAGCATGAAGGAATCTGCAAAAGACGAATAACGCATATCAGAAGATACCCTTTCGGCTCGTTCGATCATTTCAACGTCGACTAAGCTGACTCCCAAAACCGTTGTTTCACCAATTTTGCCCTTGATCCCCTCGTTTTGATAACATTTTTTTTATATTCTCCAATGGGCTGAAGATTGAAGTTGAACAGCACACTTTTCTGTGAATAAAAGCCCCTTGCTGTGATTTCCCGAAATCTGTCTGTTTGCCTACCCCTTCCTGGCCGTGGACCGGGACGTGCCGTGCCGAACTCCCCGTACTTGAGCTTCATCAGGTCACGTGCATTATGTAATACTCCAGGTGGCACTATAATGATGTTTGCCTTGTTGGCATGAGGATCCTCCATGTCCGATGCTTTCAGACTGCCAGATTCAACCTAGCTTCTTGAAGGATCGAGTACAGTACTTTTCGAAATCAGCTATACCTCCAAACTCTTCCTTCTTGATTCGAAGAAACTAATTCCGACGCGCGCTAGGCTGGGTTAGGCTACCGCCTCGGAATTCTGGCAAAACTGTCATCGTAATGATTGTATGGCCAGCAATGAGTCATTGTCACAGTACCGTATATTAGATAGAACCACTTGGAATTGCTTGGTAGATCGCCAGCTAGCTTCCCCTCTCCCGTCAGCCACGTTTTGCCTCTTTCCACCCATTCCTTCCACATGCGGCAAACCACCGTTTTCGCTTGCCAGTCATAGTGCAATAGCCCGTGCTTACCCCATGGAGGAACTAAACCTGGTAGGGAAAGATGTTTTCGTCTACCTCCATGAATTTTGCTATCTAGTGCACTTTCCATTCGTTACCAGCCTCAATCCTAACCTGGTACTCCCAGCTAACGTTTTTTACAAGGATCGTGATCAATGTGAGAGATGAACCAACTTCGCCTCGATGATGCAACGCAGTTTACGAGCTACGAACCATGGGAACATCACTCGGATTACGTCCCAACGTCTGGCTATTCTGGTAGCCCCTACGCAGTGCTATCGGACCTGAGCCCTTCCTCGTTGAGAGCAGTTGAGAATAGCTTCGACCCGACGAGTGAACCAGCCTCACCTGACCTCAAATTTCTCCAGTTGTGTGAGTGGGAAGATGGGAGAGTCTACGACGGGGACCCACCAACGTACATCCACAACCGGATAGAGTGGCGAGTGACAGCCAATAATAGGGAGGTGTCAAGGGACACGGAGGAAGATGTCGTTTTGGCACCTAGCGCCTTCTGGCAGCTGTCCTCGGGAAAAAAGTTAGAAGCCTTTAAATGAATACATGGTGTAGATTCAATTCATTCATGCTATTAAATTGCTTCTCGCTGATTTAAATACGTGTTCCTCGAGATGTATAGAATAAGGTTCAGCACGTATTTGAGCTCCTTCAAGTGCTGTCAAAAAGAGGGACTCCCCCATTTTCCGAGCCAGAATCTTCATCAAATTCCGTTTCTGCATCTAAATTATCCGAAAGGTCTGTGTCGGGAGGACTGTTGGACCTGCTTTGATGAATTCGTGAATACGTACTTGGGGGAGTCTCGGGACTTTCTGCACCGGATACCTCGAGCGAGTCAGAGCTGATGCCAAATTGCTGGATATTCGTGATGTTTGTGATTGAATCTGGATGCCAACGGTTTGGTGGTAAGCGTTGCAAAACATGGGTAATCACTTGCTCGCGAAGGTCTTGGGTCATCTTAATCAAGATATCCTTTTGTTGCCTAGCGGCAGGATTTTCGTTGTCAAATTGTTGCACATGTGGGGGACTCCACTTCGTCCAAATTTTGCGGTGAGAAGAAGACACCATCACACGGGCTGGATGATATTTCAAGTACATTTCGCAGCAGAGGCAAGCTGGCTTACTACAAGCGATGAAACGATCGTCACCCGCGAATGACTTTTGCATCTTGTAGAAGTACTCCAACACTTGGACCTCTGCATGGACATCGAGCAAGGAGCCATCATATGGACGCAGAAAATCTTTAAAGATCCCGACCACCTTTTCCAAGTGGAGAAGACCACCCTCGAGCATTTTTCTTTCACTATCATTGTTCTTGAACATTCGGTTCAGAATTCCCCGAAGGTTGGTATGCGAGTCGCGAATGGGTGGAGGTACGGCGGATGGTGCATAAATCTTACAGACAGCGTAGTTATCAAGGAGGTGACTCAGGTCCTGGGTATCCCGAAGCAGCTCTTTAATAGCCCGTATATGGTGTGCAAGCCGGCCGATGTAATGTCGTACGAGGATAAAAGATGAGCGCCTGCTGGTAGGGCCTGACCGTCTCTCATCTTCCAAACCCCTGCTCAAAATCTCATTCATATGATCGGAATGGCGGTCGTCGTGCGCGAATTTGCAAAGTCTGAAGTGATCATCGAAGCCAATAGCTGTTTGCAGCCATTTAATCAACCGCGAACCTTTGAATCGATTAACAAATTACAAGAGGATCTATATTGATAGGTGAAAGGGACGGACACACCGGAAACTGCATTTTGTCTGTTCAGCTTGGAAAGACAGTCTTTTACGTTTCTGCGAAGACACTTGCTTTCCTGTTCGATGCGCTCAGCAGCAAATCCAATGCATAGCTGAAAGAACATTGATTCTCTGCAAGTATCATTTGTGCCAGCTTGAGGGGCTATGGCCCGCAAAACGTTGAGGACGTTTTGGAGAAACGTAGCGATTTTATCGGTTTCGTTATTCGAAGCCACACAGAAGTTGTAGCACGTATTGAGCTCCTCAAGCCCAATTGCAGTGCATGCGCTGCCCCCTTTTTTGAATTCACAAATGTATCAAAGATTTTGCAGAAATCGTCGGCGTCGCGCCCGGGTGACATCAAGCTCGCAAGATGAAGTTGTGTGGTTGTCACGTGTCTGTCCAAGTGCATTCAAAAGAAACAGCTGCTCGTAAAATCGACCGAGAAGCCTCTGGTATGGGTCAAGCCTGGGGCGACCGACACGTTTTGGATCGATCTCTAGATCTTGATTAGAGTTGCCGAGCCCATACTTCTAATATTTGGTCTCTCCCGCTTGAGCGCCAATTTTGACTTCCTGTTAAAAGGGTAAGTGAGAACATAGGTAAGGGCCGACGGAGGACTTTGTATATTTATAGTTAGGCTGCGGCAGCATCCGCAAGATCCGCGGATGTAGTAAAATAGGTAGAATCCGCAAATCCGCAGCTTGCGGATGCGGATGTCAAAGGAGGATCCGCGATGATCCGCTGGCATCCGCTAGCATCCACATATACATATTGGGAAATATCTCAAGTCCGCAAAATCATAAGGAAAAACTAATTTCTCTCTATCTTTCTTAGTAAACATTAATTTGATGGAAAATATAACTATTTGAGGCTTTTCTTAATCTAACAGTGCTATTTTCAATAATGATTGGAGGGTATTAAGTGTGGTTTGGAAGTACTACAGGGCTTTGTGAAGAAATATAGTTCATTCTTCATGTAACAAATATATATTTCCGCGACAACAATGGAGATGGACTGGTAATCCTTAAATTACAAACTACCAACACTGATTAAACTAGTAATTTAGGAACATTAGATAATTAGAATACCATATAGATTCAGATACAACATTGTTTCTCAATATTTCATATAGTAAGTGGGGGGGAACTGAAGGTGAGTACTGTTACATATACCCAGAACACTTGTATACTATTGATAAAAACAAAAGTATGTCAGCAGCATAAATGTCACGTGGCCAACTAAAATAGGATAATTTAGCGAGTTTTATGCTAGTGCGGATGCGGATTTTGAAGTAGGATCCTCAAATCCGCAAGTTGCGGAGCGGATGTGAAAGTTGGATCCGCAATTGCGGATGTGCCGCAGTCTATTTATAGTCGGATATTCCAACTTTTGACCCAACAGATGATACCAGGTCAATGATTGGCTGCCAGCCATATTCCCAATAGGTCCAAGTACACCATGCCACCATGCAGGAGGTCGCTATGCAGGAGGCATACGATGCGGGAGGCCTACGATGCGGGAGGCCTACGATGCGGGAGGCCTACGATGCGGGAGGCCTACGATGCGGGAAGCTCGAAATGTGGAACGCTCACCATGCGGAACGCATGCAGTAAGCAATGAAAGGTGGAGAATCGTAATTTCCGGATCTGGGGACACCATCGAAAGATGATTAGTTAGTAGACGGCCTGGCGCGCTTTGCCGCAGCAACAAGAATCGGAACCTGAGATGTTCCGTCCCCGATGACGACTTGGATCTTAGCGGCCCCTTTCTAGCCATTGACGAACCTTGCTCGTTGACAACCTGACGATTTGATGACCGTAACTTCTTACCATTGAACTTCAATATGCATTCAGTGGCACAAGTACCAATACAACTGGGGCAAGCAACACTACGGCTTTGGCTCAAGAGCTTGAATCTTCCTCGGCAGCCCCAAGCGTCCTGGCATCGAGACAGACTTCGCGAGGAATTTCAGGAGCTCCGACTTGCAAAAACACATTTCTCTAGATTGAGTGAAGCTTCAGACGTCATTTTCTCAATTACACGCGCTCAATATGACGGATTTCCATCTCGCCGGATTCCTTCTCTCTCGGGGTACCGAATCGTCCCAATCTGTGCTTACATGTTGGCCAAGTTCACCTCGCGATGGTTCTTTTTCAAAGTAGCTGCTCTCATGTGCAAGGAAGAACGCTGGAACTCGATACATGAAGTGGTGAACCCGAGCAAGGATGAAAAGGTCGCTTCTGTGGCCTGTCGCCATCAAATGGACCCCGAAATATTCCAGCGAGTCAGCCGTGGCCTCCGACGTGTCTGGCCTCTTCTACCTTGATCACCGCGCTGCAGCTCAGGGATTCGGGATATTCATTGCGCGACTTAATACATGGTCTTGCATGGCCTGCTGGTGATACGTGGCACCTTGTGATCGCCGAGTCGCTCGCTTTGTTTTCGCTCACTTTGTCTGATTTCGATATTCTCTCCTTTTTCAACGCCTACTATACCTACCGGTCCACGTGTACCCTTAGACCGCTACTTTCTATAGAAGATCATGATATAAACCTTGCTAGTATAGGGTGTACTTGTCTTTCTCCATCGAGAACCAACTTTCACAGTTACTTTGCTTGATATCAACTCCTGTTCTACCAAAGCTTCAGTCATGCAGCCTCCCACTGTATCGTGTCTCAATGGCAGTGACAGCCACGATCTCACGTCCACCAACCCGGCGTCAGCCGACTGTCCAAAACCAGTCATCATTGGCCTCTATGGCCTCCCTGGATCTGGCAAATCATTCTTGCTGGATATTCTCAAATGTGGCCTGAGTCATGCCGAGTTCTCCTTTTATGATGGCAGCCAGGTGATTGCAGCGGGCACGCCTGGGGGGCTTGAAGCATTCCAGAAATTGAGGGAAGATGACAAAGAAGGGGTCCGTGATCGTGCGATTCGAAGGATCAAGCAAGAGAGCTCCGACAGTGGGAGAAGTGCCATAGTCACTGGACATGCCATGTTTTGGGCCGAAGACGAAGTTGCTGGTCAATTGGTGTATACACCAGCTGATTTAGACACCTACACTCACATTTTATATCTTGATGTGCCGGCTGAGGACATTGCGGAGTATCGGTCGAGTGATCAGAAACGAAGTCGTCCAGCAGTGTCAATTACTCATTTGATCAAATGGCAGCAAGAGGAGAAAAAACAACTGCGTCACCTTTGCAGGTCCCACGACATCATTTTCACGACCATTACCCAACGCCAGGTATCCATGGGGAAAATTGTTCCCTTCATTCAGGATCTTAAGACCCATACAGACGATTTGAATTCCAGACTGGCCCAGCAACGCATGGACGACTTCATAACGACCGGATCCGAGCGGCCGGAGACCGTGCTAGTCTTTGACGCCGACAAGACACTCGCACCACAGGACAGCGGTGAACTATTTTGGGAGCTGGCTTCCATACCTTCGGCTGAGGCGGACGAGAGATTCCCCTTGAAAAGTTTGTTTAGCAGCCCTTTGCACTACTCATATACTGCCTTCCGCCAAGCGACCTTCCTTTGCGAAGAAGTCATTGGCGACAACAAAGAATATGATGATTGCTGCGACAAAGTGGCCCTCATGATCAAGGTCCATTCTGAGATTTTAGATCTTCTGCACTTAGTGTCAGGTCAGACTCATGTCCGCGCGCTGGTGTTAACCTGTGGACTTCGCAGAGTCTGGGAGAAGGTTCTGAAGAGGGAGGGTCTGGCGAAAACAGTTACAGTGATCGGCGGGGGGCGCTTGTCCGACGCTCTTGTCATGACACCCGCACTGAAAGCGGCACTCGTGACGCGTTTGCGTGATGTGCACGACTCTTATGTTTGGGCCTTTGGCGACAGTCCACTGGATGTGGAAATGCTCCAAGCGGCCAACCAAGCTATTGTTGTGACGGGCGACAAAGCATTGAGAAGTACTAGCATGGACGAGGCTTTGACAAGATCTATCGGAAAGGCCGGATTTCGGCCGCGCCAGGCTGTGCTCCCGTCAAATGCAACTGCTCGCCTTGATACGTCCCGGCTACCTTTAGTACAACTGACGGATCAATTTTTTGTTGACTCTTTATTTGTCCGGCGCCAAAGCCTTCATCTTCTTCATGCTACTGATCGTTTTGCGGCCAAATTGCTCATGACACCAATGCGCGATGCAGCGATCTCGGGGCCAGCACTGCGGGATGCACATTCCCAAGTTGGATGGTATCTTGCCACTGAGTTCTGTACCCAAATTCTTGGCGTTGAGACGTGCCATATTACCCATGTTCAAGGTCATAAAACAGATGGTTATCGAATTCTTCATGAGGAAGAGACCTTGATTGTGCCTTTGATGCGAGGTGGTGAACCAATGGCATTGGGCGTGAACAGGGTTTTGCCACTTGCCATGTTTCTTCATGCAAAAAACCCAGGCGATATTCAGCATAAGCATCTTCAAGGTCGCGAGACAATCTTTCTCGTTGACTCGGTAGTCAACACCGGCCAGTCAATCTTGGAATTCGTGCAGCACATTCGAAACCTTCATGCCTCTATCCGCATTATCGTCGTTGCTGGTGTCATCCAGGCAAAATCGGTTTCCACCAGTATGATTGCGCAAGAGCTCTCGCGATTCCGGCGTTTGTCCTTCGTTGCTCTTCGCCTGTCGAATAATCAATTCACCGGCAAAGGGCCCACCGATACGGGGCACAGACTGTTCAACTCCGTGCTCCTTGATTAGTTGTATGCGGGAGTGTGGTACCATGTGAACATTTTCTTCGTTGGCTCAATTATGTCGTGGTAAACTTGGAAATATTTCTGTCTTTCCTTCGTGCTGCATAGTAGGAAAAGATACAGTTCGCATTTTCTCGCCATGGTTTCCTCTTTGCTGTGAAATCACAAGAACTAGGCTTGAGTACTTCAAGTCTTACCTTATCCTAGACTAGTTTTGAGTATCGATGAGAGTTAGCCCTGGCTTGAACAACAAGATATAGGTACTGGAATTTGTAACGCAGATCACCGATCGAGCATCTAATACGTCTCACGGCTCTGGTAGGTGGTTTAAGTCTTTTACTAGAAGTGGGTCGCAATAAGAAACCTAATGCTGCAATTCCATAGAAGTCTCTACGTGAGACTTAACGCTGTGCTCGTTGAGAATCTTTCCCGATGCTTCATGCATTCGGCCAACAAGTGCCGGCCTCACGGGGACCATTTTAATAGAAACCAAAGTTGTTCTAGTTTTAATTTTAATTTTTTCTTAAATATAGGTATTAATTTTGACGAGCTTTTCTATTGAATGCTTAATATCCTAGGGTTCCTAGGTGTACTTGTTGGATTGGGCTCGGGTTGGCCTTATAGATCATACTCACCATGTCGGTGGTGGTGACTGCAAGTAACATATCCCCCATGACACGCACCATCCGTGGGCGCAAAGCTACACCACCCTCATTTATCGAGTCAGCTCATGGGTATTTGCGAGCCCGTTCGTGTGTGAAAGCGCGCCGTTCACGCTTCTTTCACATCTATCAATAGCATTGGTCTGGTCAGCCAGTTTACAAAACCACTTGCATGTTTCGCGACACTCCTCCAACGATGGCACGCGGCCAAACAGGCAGCCAGCTTCTCTTTTAGCTTCGCCAAATCGACCGTATCCAGGATGATATCAACTTCGACTTCACACATCAGCACCAAACGGGTGCCTGCGAGTGCTCTATTGTTCTGACCTGAGGTAATGGGCTACGTAATGAAAGGGAGTAGGACATCTAATACCAGACAAGATGACATCAACGAAAATAGTGGCGCTGGAGAGATATACCGCTTTACAGCTCTCCAACTTCGAGATGACATGAACACCTGGTGATTGAAATGTGGTCGGTTACTTCGAAACTGATATAGAAAACTGAATATGCTGACATGAATCAACCCTGGACACTTCGACTGAAAATATACATGTGATAACCCATACCATGTTGAGGGTTTGTATAATGATATATCGCAGTCGCCTAGGGTCGACACCCTGTCACAAAAGTCCCTGTTTTTGGACCCTGCAACCACTTTGATTACTCGGAACGCTCTAAATATCACCTTGACCACAATGCCCACAAAAGAAGCACTGTTGGCAATACCGCGGGGAAATTTGGAGCCACCGGCTGTTAGGACGCGTCTTACATATGATGTTTGAACTTTGAGTTCACGACAAGTTCCAAATGCTCAAATGAAAGATAAATGTGAGAACATTGTTGCATGAGGGGTGTTTAAGGTGTGTTCCCCGAGTGCCTACGCAGGGGTCCTTTCGCCGAATGGGTTTAGTAACATGGCCTTCCTTGAGATCTGAGAGAGAACAGATCCGTGCTTGAAAACCCCGCTTCTATTTCACGAAATAAAGCCCACTCATACTTGCATAAGGTCTATCTCTTCTTCTCAGACGCACGGCACCTTCCAATTTCGTAGAATGAGACATACCAACAATGACCCATCCTACAATTTGGTTCGCCAACAGGTTCTAAATTATGCTCCTAGAGGTCTATGAGCTTGGCCGATTAACAGAAACCTTTTACAGTACTGGCCAAGGCGCCCATAAGGATACAGACTTGCAGCGCCGCTTCTGTCGATCGGAAAGAAAGAGTGCAAAGTTGGCCCGAATGTGCATGAAAATGGAAAAGACATGTTTCCCGCTCCCTTGAGCAGGTATTTTATATGGCTGTACGTTCTCGGCTCCTTCACGGTTGTTGAGAGTGCCTCACTTGCATGCCCTCAGTCTTTTAGTCTCCTGAGGCTCAACACTTGATGCTTACACGGATTTAAATGCAAAAAAATTTCCATACATATTCAAATAATTCTACATTAAAGGCAAAGAAATAGAAGCCGCAGACGCCAATATTATGGGAATGCGAAGTTCGGATATGCGCTAGAGAGAACGTCTGGTATGCAACAGGACGTTTCAATACTCGTCGTTAGATGGCTGCCACGGTGGGCTTTTCCTGGAGCAAGAAGAGAGAAGATATCGGCCAGGTTCCATAAGAGCGGAAATCTTTGCGACTCAGGGCAGCATCTGTAGGACTGCCCTACGCGGGCGACCACAAGATCTCCGGCACTGCTCTCTTCTTCGATAGCTTTTCGAGGATCGTCAACAATTTTGAGGCACCCTTTATTTGCACCCAATGAAACGTCTGGAAAGATTGGTTGCAATAATTCTGTGTCTGCTTGAGTCCGACAGCCGGCGAGAAATGACCGAAAAAGTGGGCTAACCTCAGTCTCCTTGTGCGACAGTTCAGAGCTGGCAAGCAGCGAGATAATGGATATCCGAAAGAGAAGGATGCCGATGAGAAGATCTATAAACGGCCTGGCATCATTTTAGATGCAGGTGGGAGACAGATGGCCATTAGACTCACTGTCAAAGCCGGTGTCTTCACTGCGACTTTGTAGACTGGCCATGCTCATACTTCGGGCTGATAGAAAAGCTATAATCTAGATTTTCCAGGTTAGAGAATTATTGAAATCCGTGCATGGTCTCCCCGCTCACCTTATAGAAACGGTTGTTATCAGAGATGCAACCACCACAGGATGGGAAATTCTTCAACTGTGATCCACCGTGAGGCTCTAGCCTAGAGACATTACGTCTTATTAATTTATTTACAGGCCCTCAAAGGAAGTACACAAGGAAGTGATTTAGAGCGTGACGTGCCATCCTTTCGCAGATGTGTTGGCCAGGCGGAGTGGGTCGTACTGTTAACTGTCTTTCATGGCAAACACAAGACTAACCGACCCCGCAACAGTAGAAAGAGACGCAATGCATGGCAACATGAGCCCCCGACCCGGGAGACCGCAACAATGAGTATGTCTGTGCACAGCAGAATTACCTTGAGACCTGCACGAGTATCGAGGCAGTATGACATGGCTTCAATATAGCTTGCGTCGAGTAGCGAGTTAGGATACTGTAAGCAAAAGACAGGGATGCAGATTGAAAGGCAAAGGAGAATGACAGGGCGGAAACCGTTGGAAAGCAATAGAAAGGGAGCGAAAGACAAGATAATGGCTAGCGTTGGGCAGCAAAGCTGGATGACGAGATTGCCCACAAATTATCTAGGCGCAATGAGTCAGAAGAAGTGTAGCGAGGAAGAGAAGATGGATTCTAGAGTATATACATCAAGCTTGCAGCGGGCATATTCACAGGTCAAGAAAACTTGTGTCTGTGATCTTCATTTTGCAAACTTTTTCGAGTAGGACATAATGAGCGGAGGACATTCAAGGTCTCCGCTGATCTCCCACCAGCCTAAAAGACTGCGGTTGCTTTACGAGCCTCTCTGCTTGCTCCACACTCTGAGTGAAGTCCGAGGGGATCGAATCAAGCCCGGCGATATATCCCTTGAAGGCCCGGGGTTGACTGCCCCCAGATGTTATCGATCCTTTGTTGACGCCATTGCCTATATATGTGCATACCAGAAGAAACCTGGCTACGTCACCGCCGCAGCCCTCGAAGAGGCCCCCGATGCGATAGTGGTTCTGCTGGCTGCCAACGATGGTATTGATCCGGCAGTCGTCACTCTTCTGGAGAAGGTGCTCATGATACTTTCATGGATTATTGATAAGCCTACGGTTCGACTAGACACGAATGAGGGCCGAGGGGTAATGAAAATATTGACTACCCATGTACTGGACCTCAACACCCCCAAAATTTTCGAATACTACCAGCAGGTGAAAAAGTTTGTCCCGTGGGTGATGGGAAAATTGGATACCGAGCCTGGACCACCACGAGCAGATCACGACAGCATCCTCAACATCCGCGACTGGTTTGCAACGTACTTTTCGAAGGGCAGTACGCAGCTTCAGGAAAACGATATGCCAAGCCTAGCCCTCTCCAGCTATAGGGACCGGGAGGTGTTCAAGGCCTTACATCACACCACCGGGAGCCTTGAACAATCCCGTAATTTCGAGAGACTCCATAAGCTGCTCTACAAACTGGGGAAGCACGTGGCTCAGTGTAAGCGACTGATCCAGGCCACCATTAGGCTTCGCTCAGAGTTATCGCGAGGCTTGCGCATCGAGACGATTGGCGGGTCGCGGGAGGACCGAATCGCTCTTTTGGCCCGTACTTGCAACATTCAGGACATTAGTCACCGTATGTTCTCTGACGCGGCAAAGCGAGATATTTTCCTGCAGCATTTGCAGCAAATTTACTCAGAGAAAGAACTGGACCGGGTGCTGTCCAAGGATATCTGTAAAGGCAAAACGCGCGTGCACGCGGAACTTTTAGTCCTCGATCACTTTGAGCAGACGGGCGGCAGGTTCCTAAACGAGAGGTCTATACTAGCTTTCCCTATTAATTCCACGGTTTTTATATGATATCTAGCTACTTTAGGGGGTTTCAAAGAATTTGATCTTCTAGTAACTGACATATATATATTCCTGGAGCCCAGCGACGTAATTTTCAATACGACAACAATATAAGCTTTCGATTTCGTTAAAATTACTATATGTTACTGAAAATGCTGTCAAGGTGCCCTGGAGCCTGATTTCAGTCGAGAATGGGAATACCATGCTGCACAGAGATCTACGGGTGGTAAGCAGGGGGGTCCGCTCTTGCTCCAAGCTTACCCCCTGCCCGATACTACGACACTAGTGAATGTAATCCATAAGCATGCTGTTAGCTCTACCCCATTGAGTATAGATGCGGACTTGCCAGAGTCTCTTTCCGGACCATGTGGTCCGAGGTAGCTCTATCCTTGCCCCGAGGCTTTCATCCAGGCATACTTGGTCCCACCAGCCGAGACTTATCACTGGTAACTCACATCATCCAGCAACTGTGGCGCCCTTTTTAAGGAATTGCTCGCTTGACTACGATTTAGCCTGTACGCACGGGAGGCAAACCACGTCAATTGGACCGCTCAAACTCCATTCGCCCTTCTTTTATTGCACTAGTTAAAGCAAATCACGATAAATCTCGCATCATGTTCTCATGTTTGAACGTCTGCTGCCTATTGATTGAGGAGCACTACATGTGGCCCATTCAATCGCCTCGCTGAGTTAGCTGTCAGCTTAGAATCGATCTCGATTTCATCAAATAGACGAATGAGTAGCGATGAAATGTCATTTGGGGAAGCTATTAATTCAACAATAGCTTAAATAAAACATTACTAGCCAGCAGTTCAACTCTGATGACATGGCTAGGAAACATCCCAATATCGAATCTCGGATTGGATGCATATACTGAACTTGATGATGACGTGTAACCTCGACTTGTAATATTCCTGTGGAAACAGTTACCTCTATCCTACTGTATACGGGATCATAACCCTTGGTGAATGGACGTACCCGATTAGTTATGGAATAGGCCCAGACAATGGCCTCTTTCATACTTCTTTTGCCCCCTACAAATACTTGCCCAATTTGAACGTAGAGCGAAAATTGAATCGCATCACTTCTATCTCTTGACCGATGACGAGGCCTCTTGGCACATGCATTAGAGTCAATTATATTTTGCAATCGGAAAGAATTGAGAAGTTATTTTGTCGCGGGTAGAGGCTCATCGTGGGTAGGGGCTCAATTTAGAATGTTTGATTGGTGCGCAGGAAACTGCAAGCAGCACAATCAAAAGTCGTTAACAAGGGTCTTTCACATAGAGCGAGTCTACAAACCGTGGTTCTGGATCTGTAAGTATGTTCCTTTCTTCTGAAGTGATGGGAGATGTGGGATAGACGAACGTTCCATAGATCAGCTGAGAGCCACATGTAGTAAGCCCTGTGTCAGGCGTGAAGGTGGAAACAGCTACAAAATCTCTCTGCAGTGCTTTGTTTATCTCTTGTTACAGCGACCAGGGTCGAGTAGTCCATCGGGCCGAAGGAATCCTGGCGGAGATCGTTTTTATGATGCAATATATCACGTGATAATATCAGCCCTAACGCGTAGGGACTCGTGATTATTGCAAGTTCCAATACGTCTGTATTACCACATATCTACCTTTCTAATTACAAGAAAGTATGGCCGGCCTGATTGCTTGGATTCAGCGGCCTTTGCGATCGCGCAAGCTCGCAAAAGATCGTCACCACTTGGGACTATACCTGCTTCTATTACAGCAAGGAAAAATGTCGATCCTTTACAGTTCTGGAAGGACTATGAGAATGAATTCCCGATTCTCTCAAGTGTTGCTCGCGATATCCTCTCTATTCCTGCAGCAGGCGCCGGAGTATAAAAAATCTATTATATGCCAGTGTTATCAACATTTTATCAAATTACTTAAAATACAGAGCCAAATTGCATAAATAATGCAAGTCACGAGGTCGCTCTCGTTGAGTTAACGCCTCCACAATACCAGTTGGCTATCGTTATCGTAATGATTGTATTGCCATATATGAGTCATCGTCATAGTATAGCAATATTACCATCCAGAATTGTTCTGTAGATCTGGCGATCTTGCAAGATCTCCTGCTAAACGTACGTATACCGTAACGAGCGGAGTAACCGTGCCGTAATATTGCAGAGGTACTTCCCTCAACGACCGAGAATTATCCACCATTTTGGGTAGTCAGTTCGTCAAACTCAACAGACATTCATTTCATTTGGCCATCTGCTCTTTGCTACAAAAAAGTTACTATCGAAACTAAGTCGGATAAACGGGGCTGTGACAACGGCGAAACTTGACCTCGAAACTCCATTGGATCGCAAACATGTCACACATACGTTGTAGACCCCTCATGCTACTTCCTACTCCAGCTTCCAAGGAAAGGAAGCATAGAGAAGCTGCTTCAGTGGTTACATGTACATATCATCATATAAAAATCTCAGTAAATCCGCGTTCATCGTGTGCGCGTCGGTACTTATACCGGTTTATTTCACGAGTCAGATATGACGTAATATTACAATCAATGTACTGTGACAGACAGTACATTACTGCTTTTTCGGAGATACCTTGATCCGCCAGATCCAAATATGGCGACAAGCTCTCGGCACGGAAACCTTGGTGTCGAGGGGGAGGGTTCCCACGATGAAATATACTCAAACCTGGCAATAACTTTCGATCAAATTGGAAGGAATATATAGCACAAATATCGATTATTCGTTTACCATTTCTTGAGAGCATTTCCAGGTATTATGTTGGATTTTCACTGCGCGTCTTCCAAAGCATCCTCACATCGAGCGGTGAGGGCGGGAAGCGGTTGCGGAGGGATGCACGTTAGAGAACCTTACCATTGTGAGTTTTACCAATACGCTCGCTATACCTTGATTTCCGTCATAAAATAAAAGACAAGAATTACAAGCATGAACATGATGGACGCAGATTTGCAAAGATTTTACATGACAATTAGTACGTTTTTACGGCTGGAGTAGTTAATGTACATTTACATTTATTGTTTATGGACTAGATAGAGGCATAAGTTACCTAGAATGCACGAGTAACCGATTCGCCATCGGATCAGGTAAAGTAATCTCAGTAGACAGCTAATTAAACCCTACATTCTTCTCTATGGAATTTTGAGAAGATCGAGAGCGTATTGGTGGCATGGTGGGTGGTTGAATTAACTAAGTGCGAAATCATAGACACGTTTTGGGTGCGCAGCTCGCTTGTGGAATTTACGTTAAAAGAAAAACAAAAACCCGTTTTGTACTAAAGAGATATAAAGTCGACCCAATCGCCCATAAAATTATAGGGAGGTCTTGGCTCTACAAAAATCGAAGTTCCCTCATCTCCTACCTCTCTACCAATCCCTCTAGGGTTAAATGCGCTATTCGAGTCCGGTAAAATGCCACACCGGAGCCAAGTATCTGCAGCGTCTCGAAACAGAAAACCACTATCTATCCTACCTCCATGGAAACTGCAAATGATCTATGATATGGTAGTCAGCAAAAGACTGACTAACTATAGCGGATATGGCAGAAGCAGCGGACTGCAGCGCGGAATCAATAAAAGAAATTTGTCATTTGCTTCAAATCTTAGCCTTCCGCGAGAATGAAAATCCTCACCCGCCATCTCTAACAGTCAATATCAATATCTTACCGGCAGGTTCCTCCACACCCCCATCAGTCTCAATTTCGGCGACATCTAAGGCTGTGAATATTCACATGACGGGGAATATCACGGTTTCTGTTCCTAGAGAGGGCGCCATCGAAAAACAAGAAGCATGACCGACGTGAGTGCTATCATGCTGAGACGGCCATTGGAGTGGGGCCGAGAAAATAAGAGCTGTCGTCCAGTTGACTATGTTCTGAGCGAAGCATTTACTAGCGCCAAGTCCGGATGCAAGGCGGCGTGGTTTCAGTACGCCCTTCTTGTCTTATTTTTGATTTTCCTATCTGGTTTTCCCGAAATGACTTCCTCTAATTGATTTCCTCGATTGATGTACAGTTACTTGTGGAAACAGGCATTGATTGTGAAAATAAAGATGTCAGTTCCTAAATCAAATAATTCTAACTAACATCATGTTTACTAATAGCCCACGTACTCGTGAAAGCTGTTCGCGCAAACTCAAAAAGTGAACTCATCCTTAGTACTATGCGTCCCTAGCCTAGATCGGTGACTACGTATGATATCACTACGCCTTAATTAAAACACATCGATTCCTTTTTCTTTCGTCTATCCTTCATCTAGTGTACCGCGTCGAAGAGGCTTTGCACAAGATATTTACCGAAGGAATATCTATATATTTTCTATCGAAGCGGCAGCAAATTTTGTTTCGCTTGAAAATAAGTCAACTGAAAATATACCTTCCAGATTAAGGAAAAGATAATATTACTTAGAGGAATATAAATTTAAATGTATTATGTTCAAAATTGGAATTTCATCCCACGGATGGGGCTAAGAAGGAATGCGCTAATTTATCACTACAGTTTAGTCACAATGACCGACAACTTAACGTATTTCACATGCGAGTGGATCAGCCAATCCAACCTACTAATTTCAAATGCATATATCTCAACCAAAACTCCATTAAATCAAATACACTAAAATCATCTATCTAGCTGAATATCTATTGATTTTATGCCCTATTTTTCCATAGCCACTACACTTTGGTGGCGCCCGTGTATGTGGTTGTAAATAGGCCTCGCCAAAAACATCTCGAGGGCGGGCGGAGGGCAGGTAAGAGCCCGCCCTCGCCCGCGACCTTTCCTAATTTAGCTGTATAATTCTGCTGAATCACCCTCATAGATCACCGTTATCAAACAGTGTTTTCGTACGAGATATTTTCATACATGCGCTCAGAAATTCGAAGAAACTCACTTGTATTCTGATTAACCATAGTAGGTAATGGTATAATTACAGAATTGTAATATCTTGCCCTAGTACAGCAGCGCCCAACTTCGCCTTCCATGTCCCTCCTCTAAATCCGCGAACCCCGCCGCTCCACCCGGTCGACCTACCCCACAACGTACCGTCCAGGAGAAATTGTTCATCTCCACCGCCTATTCCACCATCACTGCCAGAGCTCTGTCGTTCCAAGGGCAAGTGCTTCATGGTGTCACCCCGCCTCAACTGGCCCAAAATGGCTTCCACTACCAACCACACTCAAGTTAAGTCTACAGGATTAAAAAATTGAAACAATATGATCCCTCATTACCTCCTCTTTTTATTTTGTCAATTTGACAAAATGCCCTATAATCCGACACAATCATCAACCGAAACAATAAAAAAAACAAAACGACTGGCAATCCCACGTCCGTTAAGAAGCCCACAAACTGTCGACTAATTGCCCAAAATCAACATACTTTGCACCGACATGAGCACACTAGGTATAATGTCCGGGCTAGATACCTACTTCAAAGGCGTCAAGCCATCAGGCTTCGAATTAGTTGTTTGCACATCTTCGTATAAGTTTATGTAAGTCAATTCGTTTAATAATCACCACTGGAAACCACATCTTCCGATGGTTGAAGGCATATTTTTATTGAACACTAGGTTTCATATCAAGAAATTTCAAACATGTTACATCTACATTTGCTTATTTACGTCTTTTTCGTCAGGCACTCGGTAGATTGCATGTAGCCGCGAACTTCTTGCAAACAAGCAGCAAGTACTCTCAAACCTTTAGGCCTATATGTCAACAAAGAACACCCTCTGATAGGCTCTGGCGGTTCCTTTCTCCTTGGCTAGGTAAAGAGGATTGCAAAAAGGAACTGCACCTGGCATGGCCCTACACGAGCTTAGTGATACTCGGAAAATGATGGATGATAATGGGTTCTTCGGCTATTTACTTCGTACGGGAAATTAAATTTGATGAATTCAGTCATGTAAGATATTTGCTTTGTTGAGCAACATTTCCAAAACAGGGGTCCAATTTTCAGAGGCCAGATACTGTAAAGCTAGTCTATGCTTCGACAGTGCTCAAACATTTTCCAGCAATACTCTCGCCACAACAAATCCGCCACAGCGACTCAAACAGTTATTTTATGTCTCCGACTCTATCTTCCCAAGAGTGTGGAATAGGCCACAGTAGCTTCCGCTTTCTAACTGCAAAGGGCTCACATTTTTACCAACTCTTTCCATAGCTAACAATCAATTCCAGGATGCCCCTCGAGATCTGGCAGCTGGCACAGATCGAAAGGATCGAAATTGGGTGGAGGGCTTGACTTGGACACCTCCGTTGGTATTATGTGATTGATTGGAATCTTTCTTTATGAGTTTATTCAATTGGAGTTTATTCAGTTGGTCGCACTTATTTAAAAACTAAGCCTGCGAAACTTAAACGGAGTAGATTATGCATACTCACATAAGCACGAGCTTGGTACATGTTTCTTGGAGGGCACTTTGTACCTTCGGCATATTACTGCTAGAGTCGCCGTCTAAACCAAGTACGGACTCGATTGATTTAAAACCGGCTTCTAACCTGTCATAGTCATTTGGCCAGTGGGCTTGTTGATGAGTAGGAATGGCTTTCTTAGCTCTGACCTGGTTAAAAAGTGAGTGAACGAGGCTCCTATCATTTTTTACGATAGCGGCGGTGGAAAAGAAAACCAGGCAGCCTGGCGTAGGGGTTCATATTCAATGATTTCTTTCATCTCGAACATGAATATTAGTCTACAAAGATAGAGATGGCATATTAAGGGTCACTCCTTTGGCTTTAATACAATTAAGAAATCTGGGACAAAGGCTCTAATTTTAGTACGAACTAACTATGAATGTGGTGGTGGTACTAAACTTAGCCAGCTTCGTGTTTAATTTTAGGGTAAATCGCATGTACATCAGCAGGCTAGAAGAGCGAAACCAATTTGGATATGAACTTTATGAGTGGATCATGTGGCGAAGAAACAGTGCCTGCACAGAAATAGATGCGAGGCCGATTCATCTTAGGTTCAATATTCGGCTCCCGAAGTTCTGGCCGGAACTAGGTTATAACAACTTCACGTAAAGGCTCTTATTACTGTATTAACGGTAGACGCTCTAGTGAATTTTGTGCTTTCCAAGATTTCTGGGATGGTAACAGAGGCAGGGGTTTATCTTGAAAAGTTGGCAACATGGTTTAATTATGGACGAAACATGGAGCACTCAGTTGTAGTAATATACAGGACGCTAAATTTTATCCGCTATGTAATAAATAAATTAGAATGTCTAAAAATCGGCCAAGATGTCACATAGCAAGATTATGATTAGATTAGAATAATGTAATAAACATTGTAGAAATACCTAATTAGACATTAGTAAGGCTTTAAGCAAACAAGCGCCGACAGTATTGGTTAATGTTCATAATCTGACTCCCCTTTCAAAACTCTTGCGGAACCAGAGAAAACCATCAAATCAAAATCAGTATCCAGATTGGAGGTCCTGAAAGCGTGAGCCTGCGGCTGATACAAATTTTTATTAGCTTGCTCTAATTAAGGCTACGGGACCTGGTCTGTAGGTGGAGAGAGGATGGTCGATTTTTGAGCATCGGCCTACCATTTCTACCTACATAAAGCCTCGGGGTTAAGTTTTTGTCCCCATCAGACGCGAAACCCTCTCGGCGTTCTCATATCATTACCGACTACGTATAAAATGAAAACATCTACCGGTGCAAAGTCTCTTCTTGGTTACCTGAATATCATTCATGCCTTCATTCCGGGTTTTACGAAGATGGCTAGACTTTTACATCGACTCTTAAATGTTAAAGGAAAAAGCCTTACTTACCTCGTGTACCTCATCGGCAGCCTCGCCGTGATGAGGCCGTATGCCGTTAACATGACTTCATGGCTACAAAACTACTTTAGTAAGTTCGCAAATGCGATGGTGTCGCTGTACACTAACCTGTAGCAGCCTCAACGGTCCATATTCATTCCTCGAGTGAAACCCATGATATGTTAACATCTTGGATCGCATCTAGAGGGCTCGAAGATGCTGCTAGATCCTTCATTGCGAAGGTTAATACCACCCGAAGAAACTATGGAGATAGATCCAGGGCAGTCAAGAAGCCCCTTCAATTTTTGCCTTACAACGCAGGTTTTTTCATCTGGTTTAAAAAACAACCGCTTCTATGCAAGATCAACGAGGAGGGTACTGGTTACTCCAAATACGAGAATATCTCGGTCACTTGCTTGGGAAGATCCTCAAATATCTTGAAAGCCCTTTTGAAAGAGTGTCAGGATGAATACCTAAACCATATTGAAAACAAAATTACCATATTTGGCCACTGCAGCTCCCAGTGGAGGAAAGAGAAGGCAAAGGATATTAGGCCATTGTCAACTGTCATTCTGAAGGACAGTGAAAAGAGCCCCCTTATCAAAGACATGAAAGACTTTCTCGAGCCACAGACGAGAAATTGGTATTCTCAGCGCCGTCTTCCCTATCGACGTGGATATCTCTTGCACGGACCACCTGGAACAGGGAAATCTAGCTTTAGTCTCTCAATTGCCGGCGAGCTGGGCATGGACATATATGCCGTTAGCATCCCCAGTGTAGACGATCAATCGCTTAAGACCCTGTTTGAACAGCTCCCAGACAATTGTGTGGTTTTACTAGAAGACATCGATGCTGTTGGTTCGGTTTATTCTCGGGAGCTTGGAGCAGATGGCCCCAATAGTGATTCCAAATCGCATGCAGAAAAGAATGGAGTAACTCTTTCCGGGCTTTTGAACGTACTAGACGGCGTTGCCGCACAGGAAGCGAGAGTTGTCATCATGACCACGAATCATATCAAGAAGCTAGACCCAGCGCTTATCCGACCTGGCCGGGTTGATAAGAAGGTCGAATTTCAGCTTGCTGACAGGGATGTCGCGATGCAACTCCATCGTTTTATCTTTGATCAGCCGATAGCGCCGTCTTCTGAGAGCACACCTCAAGCAAAAGTCGACCCTTCAACTGAAAGACACGCCATTGAGTTCGCTCGTAAAGTACCGGAAGGGGAGTTCAGCCCTGCTCAGATAATGTCATACCTTGTGCAGCACCGACATGAGCCAGGTGTTGCGTTAGACAATGTTCAGAGGTGGATAGAAGCTATGCGTGAAGAAACCAAAAAGGCGAAAGCAAGTACAACAACAACTACGTTTTGACAGTCTAGAAACGAGGTCCAAAGGTAACTATATCAATATATAAGGGAGACAAACTTGTATGTACCATTTACTTAACCTTTAACTCCTAAAGCTCCAGCACATGAAGTAGAAGTTATTCCAGAATTTCAATTTAAATAAGGAATCCTCAATTGCATCCTAGAATGGTGTTGTTCGCTCCTTCTAGCTACTTACGAGCCATGATTCGTGATTGCCAAGCCGTATTTAGCTTACGTGATAAAATTCCCGATCGAGGATTTTCCTCAAATAGGTTTTAGCTAACATGCATTTCTCATTCGCTTACTTAAGAGAGACTCGCCTTGTCAGGTCAAATGAGATCCAACAACCTGGAACAGAAATCGCCACGTGATTTTACAAAATAATTTGCGAAGGAAGCAGAATTTCTGGTACGCACCGCATTAACTTACTGTACAGTGTTGTTAGATGGTCATGTGAGCCATCTTGTGTGCATATCCCCAGATCTTCCGTAGTTTAGGTTCTTTCTTCTACACGCAAATACAATTTTACAGATCTTGGTCTATCTCTCGTAGATCCTCGCTCTGTGCTCTCTTGTTAAGTGTATAAAGCTCTTTCAGATATGCATTATTGTACAAATTTTAATAGCAAGATAGGATTGAAATCCCATAATATCACGTTAAGCTATTAATAGAGCATATTCCGGCTGTAAATAGAAGAACAGCATGCAAGTAAAAGTCAGGTGTCAATACGTGGTGCTATTTAATGACTAACACGATTCCGAGTATAAATAGATTCGTAATTTCCTTGAAAATAGTGTCCAATTTGAAGAATTTCAATATTTTTGAATGATGTTGTCTCCCGGGGACATAGTTTCTTTGCCCCTTTTTACGACAGGTTTAAAGACGTTCCGTCCGCTCCGTCTACTTCGAAAAACCTTGTCATCTGTCTGGGTTGCCAAAAGTTAATCAAGAGCAGTCGATTCTTCGACATGAAGCCCGGCCATTGTTTTTCAAAATTACGACGTTCATTGAAGTACGAGCCCCTCCATACCAACGGCTCTGTCGATCTAAAACTTCATTTATGTGGAAGTGGCATCCTGCTCTGTTTTATTAACTATATATGCCGGCATTCTTCATCCACAAGCAATGCGATCACAGCTTTGGTTTCTGTTTTAGCCAATCTCTTTTGTTTTGGGACTTCTGCTTTTTGCCACTACGAGCTCGACTCGAGAAAGCAGGTCCTGTCTTCTACTTCTTGGTGGACTGTATTGGAATTATTCTGTACATATGGGGGACATCCATATCGATGGTGCTTTTAGAGACTACTGATAGTGAAAACAGCAATTTCAATGTCCTGGGAGCAACACTTGCCGGGCTGGTCTGTGTCATTTATCTGGTGACCTGGCCAAAAAAAAGAGACAACGAGTTTTAGTTATTGGAATGTTTGGAGCTTTGGCTCTATGCAGCATCTCACTCTACAACGCTGTTTTCTCAAACATATCTCTACTGACGGGAGCTTATATCTTAATGGCTTTGGTCAATGGCATCGGAGGGTGGATATACTCCCATGGATCTATTTAAGTCCTGAGTCAAGGTTCAGGCGAGCCCTACGTTGTATCGGGGCACTTAATAATGCATCTATGCTCTCTAGCTGCATCAATATTTCACTCTTCAATTCTGGCTTCTTCGGTCTGTATCTGACAAATTCGAGAGCCTATACGCACGAGAATTCGATCCCGTCTATTCCTCTGAGACCAAAGCCTGGCTCAAATATGTGGTGCTGTCTAGTAATTTAACAAGGGTACATCTTAACATAATAATGTAGAAGGCGAGATGCAGTAGAATTCGAAAACATTTTACTTCTGGGGTACTGACGCTTTGTTTCTCGGGCCGTAATAGAATCGGGGCTTATCCTTACTTGGCCATCTTGTAAAATAATTTTTCCTGTGAGTGGAGATTATCATACCGTTTATCCGAATAAAGACTCAGTCGGATTCGGGTGTGAGCCGAGAAACAAAGTGTGTGTGCCTGAGGTGTAAACTGTTTTCGAACTCTACTGTAGTGATCGAAGTAGACTGAGTTAGCGAACATGAACTAATGCAGTCTCGCAATAGCCTTTTCACATATTTCGGGCCTCTAGGACGAGTGACATGCTGCGTGGCGATCGTTTATCTCCCCCATTAGTATCTACAGTAACATCATAGACCAGTCCAATAGAATATAATCAACTGTTACTTTTGCGCTGCACAAGCACTTATCGTCTTCGGAAATGTTCCGTAGCGTGGATTGCACCACGATTCCGCCCTTTTTTAGTTTGCTATTTGCGCCTCAACATGATCGAGATGCTCTGAGGCAGCCGATTAAAGAACAACATCTGTGGTGTTATATTATGACCAGCACCTCTTCTCTCAATCCGATTCTATCTCGATCTCCTCGAAGACCAACAGCATTTATGCTGGCAATGGTCTTGGATGGATGGGTTTGCGTCTGTTCACTATCTTCAGGGATACTGCGGTAACGTAGAATAGAAGGGTACATTGCTCGGGCGCATTAGGCTCGCAGTAAAACGGACCAGGTAGAGTTACACACGGTGGAGTGTGGGCAGTGGTGTTTGTTCTTTACCCCGTTCAAATGCGTAGTGTGTCAACAGTTTGCGGGCCTCTACTTCCGTAGTTGATATCCTCGATGCCTTGAAATTAACTGGAGGGAAATGAGGATAAGCACATTACCTATCGATCATACCCAGCAGCGACCACTAAAACCAAGGTCATCTCCGCACCTATTATAGAGATTGGTCAGAATGCTTGCAAAGTTGGAAAAGTGATACGAATCTAATTTTGACTACAATGTTAAGAATAGCAGATGTAGATTTGAACCACTGGTACGAGTTTTTAATCCACATAAGAACACTATTCTGTACAACTACTTAGCACTCAGCTTACCGCTAAAGCTTTTATAATTATTCTCAATCACCTTCTCCGCATCGCGTCAAATTATAACATGGCTTTAAACAAACTACCACCAGAGCTGCTTTTAATTCTGGCAGAACATATAACTTCAAAGCCTGATATTAACTCCATATGTCAAACCTGCCACCTATTCTATCAATCCTTCAACCAATATTTATATCAACGGGATGTCAAAAGTTTAGAAAGCCGCGCACTTATATACGCTGCCCAAAGCGGCAATTTCGGCACAGCCATCTTATGTATTCAATATGGGGCTGACGTCAATGTGGTGGACAAGCAGATGAAAAGAACTGCGCTGTCGTGGGCTGCAGAGAATGGACAAGAGGAGGTAGTAAAGTGTCTGCTTTCGAACGGAGTCGATGTGAACTTAAAGACCAATGAAGCTTTGTCACCACTCTCCTGGGCTGTTGCCAGAAAGCATGACGGAGTAGTTCAACTCCTCCTTCAAAATGAGGAAGTTGATGTGAACCTAACTGACTGGTATCACCGGACACCCCTGTCTTGGGCTGCAAGGGATGGTAATGTTACAGTGGTGGAGCGTTTACTCCAAAGGGTAGAGGTGGATGTGAATTTAAAGGCCGACGATGCTTTGTCACCACTGTCCTGGTCTATTGCCAATAAACATGACGCGGTAACTAAACTCCTCCTTCGAAACGACAAGGTTGATATCAACTCAATGGATTGCTATTGCGGAACACCGCTTTCGTGGGCCGCAAAGAATGGGATGGACAAAATAGTGGAGCAATTGCTTCAACGCAAAGAGATTAAGGTGAATCTCACCAATTGCTACCACCGCACACCCTTATCCTGGGCAGCAGAGAACGGGCACGATGCAGTGGTGAGTCAAATCCTTCAAGTACAAGAGGTTGACTTCAACTTTCCGGACTGCAATGGTCGCACACCCTTAAGTTGGGCTGCTAAAAATGGACGCGAGGAGGTGGTCAAATTGCTGGTTCAAAAAAATGGAGTAGATGCAAACTTATAGTATATTTCGAAAACAACTTCCTCCAATTACGCTCACAATATTCCTCTCAGGGTGTCTCCGAAAGGAATTTTGATCTACATTAGGACTAGCCATAACGTAATATGTCTTCTTAGCCACGAATCTGGGTTCAAATGCACGGGCCGTGAGTATTTTGAGGGAAAGCTCGTTTTCGAAATATACTGTAACGGACAGGTGCCGTCGAACATCTCTATCCTGGGCTCCGAAAAATGCAGAATGACTCACGAAACTGTTGCTTGAGAGCAAGATGGTAGAGGTTGACCTTGTATGCGCTCCTGATTTAGTCAACACCCCAGCACATAGTTTTCTAGCGTCTTAACTGATCCATACACATTGTTAGGATGATACTGTACATTTCCGCCGTATCCACTGTTCTGTTCTAGCTAGCAGTGTACGCAATGGTCATTTTCTAGGAAGAACGAACGAGTTGCCTGTGTTTCTGTTCGATATGGAATTGAACGATCCCATTTCTAAGACACCAATTACATGCGACATCGCCTACATTGATCAGCATGCAGAAGGCATTCTCACGCATCCCTCAGATATCACAAGAAAAGAAATTTCTCTTGTTCACACGGAATTTCAACATCTCAAAGAATGGCAGCGGATTTCAGGAGGGGACATCGATGACGTATTTGCGCCTCTGTTCCGACTCTACCGGAAGACTTTTGCGGTTGCGTAAGTTCTTCTAACTTGACGACGCTTGTGACTTAGTCTTACAATGGCAGGTTTTTCCATCTAAACCAGCACGAAGTCCTTGATCTTAGTAATGACCTGACGGTCATGAAGAATATCCTTGACTCTATGGCGCATAGCTCAAACCCTGTTGTTGCCGAATTCGCGCGCTGTCAGCAGAGAGGTCTTCATACCAGCCTTGAAATCTGCAAACGGGGATTCCATTACGCAGGCTACAGGCCCTTTTTACAACAAATTGAACAGCTCAAGGGCAGAAGTCGATCTGAATTGGAGATTTTGCTAGCTTCAGAACCAATCTCGCTCTCCACGACATTGTCGCAGACAACAGTCCCACAATCTAATGTGACTTCCAATATCGTGCAAGAATTGAACGAATTCTCCCAAGCAGTCAACGGTGACACCATTACGCAAATTCTTGACTCGTGCACAGGTTCAGTCGTTGTCTACATTGCCATCTGCAGAGCATTCAAGACAGAAATGAAGGCACAAATCAGAGATTGTTTGAATACGTGGATGAAAAAGATGCCGTATCTTCACTGGCTCAAGCTTTATAGAGAAGCCATCTTGGTTACGGCAGGTCTTGCGGACGCTGACGGAACTCTTGAACACAAACTATTGGATTTTGTCAACCGTCTGCAACACGCATCCGGAGACAAGACCATATATACCGTTGCCGACCTGAAGGAGTGACCTTACGTGACGGTAGACTTGGGATTTTGAATCCATCTGTGACGGAAATATGTTAGCGATAAAATCGGGGTTTCCGTTTCCGTGGAAGGTGTTAGTCTGTTCTTCTTAGATTGAAATCCTTTATCTCTATCCCATGGGCATCATTGTAACGTATTTCACATGTGAGCCGCCCACCCCAAAACACCATAGTAAGTGCGATATATTCTCCATTTATATCTCAACAACGAACTGATGATTGTATCTCCTTATTTGTCGATAGTCATTGATAAGACTTATTAACACTATATATCAATCTTAAAGGCAGTAGGAGGCTATAATATCATCATTTCAAAAATTACCGAAAATTACGTTGCTAAAATCTAGCAATATATATATCGCAACCATAAAGTCATAAACTTTCTTTAAACTCCATTAAGAGGCTAAATATCGCCTAGAAATCAGGAAGCTATAAGGAGAAGTCCCTATAGACCAATGTTGTTGAGATATCAAGTTGTAATCTATCGCATTTACTATGGTGTTTTGGGGTGGGCGGCTCGCTTGTATGGGCGGCTCGCATGTGAAATACGTTAATCAAATCTGTTACAACTGACTAAGCCTTTTTTGTGCACGGGCCTCGGTTTCCCGATTATAATTATATTACCGTTTGATTACAATGAGGCTCCCATCGGTTTTCGGCGCCAAAAGGTCAACAGGTTCTGATTCAATGGTCCATTATCAACGTTCCCAAAGCCGATAGGAACCGGCAGACATCGTAAACACCACGAAGCACATGCCCTCCTCGTACCTAATCCGACTTCCTGCCGCGACGCTTCCTCTGCGGCTATCGCCTCTGACTTCCCGAAACGTCTTCTTGACAGGACGCCGTGGTTGTAATTGCCGCCCAGTGTCGCAATGAATTATCTTGGCTTCTTTGACATGTGCACTGTCAGAACATCAAACTCAACCTTTGCCAACAGAACAAATTGCAGTCAGTACCTTGATTCCTACGAGCAACGCCGAAATCATTTCAAAAGAAACCAATGTCAAGTTGATGACACATCTTAGTTTAAGGAGCACGGACTACGCAAACATACGTCGAAGTACGGCCCAACTCACTGAGGTGGCACCCTCCGCCTTTCTAGGTAGCCCGGCCGCCGCTCGTCAGGAGATCTGCTAGAAAGCCGCCCAGTGCCGGTCCATAAGGTCAAGCATCACCCCCTGGGGCACGGTCGGTCCGGCCACTCAAAGGTCGCTGTCGACTGCGGGAGTCCCGGTAGCTGAGGACTAAATTGTGATCGCTCCACCATCATTCTCGGTTTTTTTAGCCTAGTATTTTTACGGGCGAGTTAATCGCGGCAAGCAAATTCTCTGGACGGTGATGTTTGCACCCATCTGGATACACAGGGATCGGGCGTGTTAGATGGGTCATAGCCTGCGTGGCATAGCTCGGCTCTCTCGTAATATGATGAGGTGTCCATTTTATTTCCAGATATACCTTGAATTGACCAGCTAGTGAGAGCTGGTGTAAGTCGGAATGAATGGTGAGCGGGTCA